CATTTAACTTTCACACAAACTGCATCAGTTTGCAGATTCACTTAAAATGTCTGCAATGTTATTTGAAAGAGAGAAAAAAAAACGCTAGAAGTTGGGACGTATATTTGTAAAAAAAAAAATAAAGCGTACAATGAATCGCTATCAAAGTCATATCACACCATTTCTGATCAAGCCGTGCGCTTGGATGTCCAATTTAGTTTTCTCAAAGCTGCGTCCCCAGCTTTACATTCCACACAGGGATAGAACAGTGGTATCAATCTTCTCTTTTATTTCTTGCAAAAAAGAGAAAAGTGTGCTTACAGATTCATCTGTCTTATGCTCATCTTTGAACTTCTTGATGAGGTTGTAGAAAAAATCTACACTGGCTTTGGGCATTATCTCAACCTTTAGAAGATCCAGCAGACGAGCAGCAAACGGAAACACCACTGAAAGAAGAACAAATAGTTGTGAACTAATATTTGCATGTTACCGACACCATGTGATCAAATGATCTGTGTCTGTAACAGACAAAAGGAGGACGTACTTAGAAAAAAAAAGGGCCATAATTTGAAGTTTAGATTCTTCTGCATATGAACATTGACGGGGTCGTCTGGGTTGTTGATGGAGTCTGTCTCCACACTGAAAGATGCACTGGTCACCACGTCTAAGCTGTAAGGAGCCATAAGTCTATAGGATGTGGAAAAGAGAGATGGGTTTGGATTAAGAGCAACAACATGTACGTATTTCAGGGCGCTCAATGCAACAATATGCTGTTAAAGACAGACCAACAACATACTTTTTGACATCGACGGCCTCATCCAAATTTGTGCGTCCAAGTTTTTCAACAAGTCGGTCTGCATAGCGAGCTACAAGAGGATAAGCCTTCAACAGAGTGGACAGAAAAGGAAAGTGAGTTGAGTTTCCTTTCTTGCTTTTTCTCCTGATTGCAGATTGCAGGTGATGGAGTCAGAAGCTGTTCATGACACCAACCTGTTTGAGTCTTCCACTGGTGAAGCATGGCGATATTGTGCTCCGAAGTCGTTTCCACCTTTCGTCTTTCACTACTGTAACTGCGTCATCCATCGGCCCGTTCATTAAAGGACTGTCCTGTGATCAGAGGAAACAACACTGAACGTTTAGATCCTTGCAGACACATCACACAATTTTCGTCCTCCAATATTTGCCCATTTCAACCAGTGCAATCACTGAAATCTGCTGAAATAACGTTACTTCTTTCAACACTTTCACCTTTGGCGTCATCTCACAGGTGACTGTCACAAATTATTACACTCCAATCAAATGAGGGCAACATTTCCAATGTGATAACAAATAAACATAAATAAATAATAATAAATAAACATTAGCTGAACTACTTAGCTTGGCTATATTTATTTTATTGATAGTTTTTTATTATGCAGTTTGATTGCACAGCTTAGTCAGTCCATAGAATATTCAGAAATATCTCTTTTGGATAAAATTCCTTTCACTTTGAAAAATAAATGAAGGAACATATTGTCACCACTTAATTATTAGTCAATTACAAGTCAAACAAATCCAGTTTGATGATTGGTTTGATAAACCTTTGAAGTTGCGAACATAATTTTGACGAGTTGAACTGACATGGTAATGTTGATAATTGCATCATCTTATTTTTATGTATAATTTAAACTCAAGCTTGCGAATTAGTTGATTTAACACTAAATTTAAGTTGATGTAACTTAATGAAATTGGCTTTTTTTCCCCCTTCGCTTTGAGTTCAGGACAACTTGAATTTTATTTTAAATCAATTAACACAGAAATGTGGGCGTAATTATTACTAATATTCTTATGTTAACACAACTCATTAAACAATGCTTAAAGGTTCATCTGAATCAGTAAATTTTTGTCTTGCCACCATGCATGTAATTTGAGTAACTGAGTCTACTGAATTACTTGCTAGAACGCTGAATTTCCACTGATTCTGGTGTCTAATAAGGGGCGTCTCTTACCCTGCGGTTGGTGAAGGCGGTGTAGCATTCCTTCACCATCACACTTTTAATAATCTCAAGGTCTGCCACCATTAACAACGGCGTCCGTCCTTCATACAACCTGCAAAAGCACAACATCAAGGTATATAGTTTGAGCTGCCTACAATACACCAGTTTTACATTTGCAATATTACATACAAATATTTGCTCTGGGTCCCTGGAGTCATTTATTGACATACGCAGGCAGTAAAATGACCCAACCTATCCTCCTGCTTATCATTATGAGTTCATTATACCCTGCAGTCGTGGAAAGCAGCAAAGCAACAAGACCTTACAGTATTCTGGTATAGAGAGAAATCTAATGATTCCCTTTGAGCAAGCACTTAATATGCAAGTACAAATTTAAATAACCTCCAACACGGTGAGCTAAAACAGTAAAATCCTGCTTACACATTTGCAATCTAATCATCTGCAGAATAAATACTTTCCCACTGTTTTACTCACCCCCAGACGTCTCCATACTTGGCCTGGCAGTCGCGGTCAAATCCAAGAAATCCCTACAAGAAATATGTTTTAAAGGCTGAACGGCCACAGAACAGTAAGAGTCAAGGTGCACAGATAAGCCAGGCAGGTTACTGACACCTCTTTACTCTCAGTAATCACCAGTCACCTGTTCATACACCAGGCTCCAAGGTTTGTTGGCGCTGGCTTACCTTTGCAACGTGGTGCATTGTTCCAATAAATGGCAGAGGTCTTGGTCCTTCAATCCCCAGCTTTGAGAAAAACCTGTATGGCCAAATTCCATACCTGCATTGCAAGAGAGAGAGAGAGAGAGAGAGAGAGAGAGAGAGAGAGAGAGTTAGAGATCAGGTTGTTATTAGTGTTGGGCAGTAAAAAGACCAAAGTCAAACCCCAAGATTTAAAGTTTACAAAATCAGATACTCACAGGAAAAACAGGGCGAAAAAGAGAGCCAGTAAAGTCCATGTTGTTGCTGAAAACAAGTCGAAAAACATCTTGGCTTTGCTGCGACAGAGCCGGACAACAAACACTGGAGAAACACTGAAGTGCACCACCAGCAGGGCTCTTAAATGTATGTCAGAGGAGGCTGGTCATTTTTTACATCATGTGTTTTTTTTTCTCTTTTTCCTTCCTATTTTTACTGCATTTGTGTCGATTTACGCAACAACCGAATCAGGAAAAAGGAAAAAAGAAAAAAAACAAAAAAACACTTTCGCATGACATCACCCGATAACAACATCACCTCTGTGTCCTTTCCCACCAACCAAGCATATTATCTAGAAAATAAACAGATTTTTAAACTAGAAAATGTATATTCGCATTAGAATATTTAAATCTATTTGTTGTTGTAATTAACGATACATGTCTAAATATGCAATAAACCGCTACTTCCTGTTTTCTTGCAACGCATCCTCATAAAAGAGCAGTAAACAAATCTACGGCAATAAAATGTGGAGTAAATTATGTGCCGTAATATAAATTGTTGTCAAACGAGATATTTACAAAATATTGTTTGTCTAAGGCAGTTTAGGATTTTTTTTTTTTTTTAGAATGCGAACATTTTTTAAAATGTGTTTGAGCCTTCTCGGGCGCCGTAGCTACCCCGGAAAAAAAAGAAGTTAATGACCCTTTTAGCTAGCTGCTTCTCTCATAGCTACCAGATTGGCTTTTTGTGTTTTTAAGCTAATTCTGGGTTTGTTTTCATCTTGTCGTGGTAAAGACAACGGTGGTTAACATACTTGGAAGGTGAGACAAAGAGTAAATATGTGGCTCATCATTTTATCTCTTCTTACAGTCCTGTTTTGAAGCTGTCCTTGGTGTGTACCGTTTGGCTAAGCTAGCCTCACATTGCATGCGGCTAATGTTAGCAGCTATGAATTAGCCTCCTGCACGCAGACTTTGCTTAAATTTGTATTTGTACTTTGCGTGTTTTCTCTTCACCTTATTTAAAACAACGTAGTTACACTCAAAGCAGCGGGGGTTGCTTTTATATCCAGTATGCTCGTTAAGATTATTTTCATTTTATAGCTTTACAGACTGTTTAGTAGTTGTGAATGTGTTTTACATGATAAGACGAGACTTATATGTCAAGTTATTCGAAACTGTGTCACCTTTTAATTGCATTTAGATTAAACAGTAGGATATTTGCTCTTATGAACTAATAAAATCCAAGAGTATAGCTTTACTGTAGGTGATGTATAGGCCCCACAGTAGTAACTCAATGCAAAAACAGTATACTTCTGCTGTATACTGAGTGTTGCAGGTTTGTTGTGCACATTTTTTTTTTGTTTGTTTGTTTGTTTTTTACACACTGTCGACCTTTTCTACTGTAACCCAGCAAACTCTGGATAGTTAAAGTGTTTTTGTGTGCCGTCGTTGTTATCCACTGCTGTAAATTTGTCATGAGTGTGCCATGGGTCAGCATTTAGTAAACCATTAACTGCAGACTCGTTGGAAATGCATTTCTTCCTTTTTAGGTAATTGTCTCTTTTGTGTTTTGCCTGACGTACGTTGAGTAATTTGCTGCCTGCACAATATCCTCAACAGAACCAAAAGCGTGTAAAGTAGTATGATGACCCACTGATCAATAAATGGGTCAGATTCCTCTCTGGCTGTTGTAAACGTAAAATAAAGTTTTACGAGATGTCGAGGCTGTATGATAGTATTTGACATGGGATTTCCTATTTTGGTGATGAGATTTGTTTTAATGCGGCTGAGGCTGACAGGTCCTTTCCTCACAAAATCAATGCAACAAATTCGCTTTATTTTCTGTTCAGTGTTGTATTCATGTGGTGTTATTTTAGCTGTAGAGAACTGGGCTGCAACAAGTCATCAAAAAAATTATTCTGTTCTTTTTTCAATTCTTTATTCTGTTTTTTGTGTATAGTATAAAAAAAAAAAGTCTCATTCCAGCTTGTTATATGTGAATATTTTCTTTTTTTTTTTTTTTTAACCTTCTGTATGACTGTAAACTTAATATTTTTAGGTTGTGGCCAAAACAAGATGTTTGGCCTTTAAGGAACACTGATGGACATTTTTCACCAATTTCTGACAATTCAGCTGCCAAACAACTAATTGATTTATCGAGAAAACAATTGAAAGAATGCCTGACTGTAAAAACTAAAGCAAGTATGTCTCTCAAGTAGGAAAATAAAATTACACACATAAACAAACAGTGGCTGCAAATGCGCCACTGCTGCCAGTTGCATTAAAATAAACCCAAATATTAAAACTAATACAATCCTTTCAGCTCATTATATTGAAGCTTTAGGCTGTTTTTATATCTATTTTCACACTTTAATGAAATATGAAACTACAAATATATAATGCTGCAAAACAAGCTCATTTAGACTGTTGGTGTGATGTTAGAATCATGTCTTTTTTGCCCTTTCAGTCCACGCTCATCCTTGTTTGCATCTTTGTTGTCTCTACTGCTGCCTCATATAAAGGGAAATATACTCCCCAAATTACCGTAGCTTTCACCATGAAAATTTGAGGCATGTCAGTGACCAGTCAGCTTAATATCAGGGTAGAAGTTACTCTGCAAGCTTTAAATAAAATCACGCTACAATCAGCCAGTTAGCATGAAACACTTGTGTGTGTGTGCAGGACTTTTAACATCACAACAGAAACTGGTGTAAATTTTAAAGCCAGCAATGGCTGAATTCCATTTAGTTGCTTTCAGGGGTCCAGTTCAGCAACTGGTTTGGTGCATTTGTCTCTCTGTCACAGCTCACTGGAACATTTGAATGCCTCATAGCCGTTATTGGTGCTATCACCTGTGCTCTTCCTCCTGTACGTCAGAAACACTGCTGTGAACAATGCCTGTACACTGTGCTGCTGCTGTGGTGATGGAGGGATTTCCCATTTACACACAATCCAAAAGGGATGGACGTGTGCACAGCCGGGGGCAGAAAGCGAGCTTCTGCTATGTCAAACCAGCTTATAAATGGTCATGTTCACAGTTAGAAGTAAAGCAGCTTGAAGGAAACCTGTGAAATCACCGCTTAGAGGAGAATTCTGAGCACTACGCACATCCTTGCATTGTGTACCTTTTTTTTTTCAGTCTGCTTTTGTATAAGCTGTCAGTGATTCCCAAAGCGAAACTCTGGAAACACATCAACCGCAGAGTGTGATAAATGTTAGTGAAATGGTTTAAACAACCATGAACATACATTAAAACAGGTGTTGACTGCTGCAGTTTTACTAAAAAACCACCCACTGCCACCTTCAACAAGCAAATTATGGCTCTGATCAGATTGATTTCCACATTTTTGTAATTCCTGACAACAAAAACAACTTTTCCTCTTGTTATGCTCTTTTTTTGGATGATTTCCTCCCTCTTTTTTCTGCTTGCACAGCTCACATACTGTACGACTTCTCTCTGAAACCCCTCTGTACCTGCGCTGAAGAGCTATTTCTGGCACGAATCATCATTACATTAGTCACTAATCTAATTTGACCTCTCTTTGCTTCTCCAGATTTAACTTCCCACCATGTTTCTCACCCTCACCCTGCTGCGGAAAGGCATCCCTGGGAAGCAGTGGATCGGAAAGTATCGGCGTCCGCGGCCGATTACGTGGCAGATGAAGCGCAACACGTTGAAGAATCTGGAGCGTGAGGCCGAGAACGAATACTGGCTCAGCCGGCCGTACATGACCGCGGAGCAGGAGCACGGCCACGTCAAGGAGCGCAGAGCCCAGGACTGGCTCAAGATCAAGGAGGCCAAGTTTGCCAATTTCCCCGAACACAAGCGCATGACAGACCACCTGAGCCACTTAAGAATCACCAAGACGTGGTGAAGCTAACATCAGCAGCAGCGAAAGGACAAGCAGAGACTGTCTTTGTAATGTGACAACAGAACATGTTGGTGTGTGTTGACTGAGAAGCCCCCCTGAAATGTCCACAAAAGTCTGTTTTAGCTCCCTGCATGAACAAGTCTGTAATTTATTTCTCTGTCTCGCAGAAGCTGAATCCACACTTCAGCAGGATTGTAATTTCTCCACATTCAACGCAGCTTCTTTGGATAAAAACTTCTTAAAACGCCAGTCCCGATGTGCGAGTCCCTTATTTTAGAGCTCATTAACAAAATATTGGCGTAGACTAATCGTAGCAACTGCTTGAGTTCCTTGAAGACGTTTCACCTCTCATCCAGGAGGCTTCATCAGCTCTGACTGACTAGTTGGGAGTTCCAGATACTTGTAACCTAAGGAGCCATTAACACCTGAGTGCAGGTTTCAGTTGGGGGTTGTTGCTCTTCCCGCCGTTGTGTGAGTCGTTAGTGCTCCCCCTGAACCAAAGGGGTTTGTTAGGGTCTCTTGTGGCTAGGTGTGGATGTGGTTTCATCTTCCTGGGGAGAGATCTTAGGAATGAGTAGTAAAGAGGTGACAGATGATGCCTCAGACCTCCACCTCGAGGGATGGTCTTTCCAGTTTGACATAGATGGCTCTGTATGTTGTTGTCTTCGACATCATTTGAAGATGACAACGTACAGATTTTGTCCAGGGAGGACAGATGGTTTGAGAGAGGGCTGAAAGAAGCCATCTATGTCAAACTGGAAACACCATCCCTCAGCAGAGGTGGAGGTCTGGCATCACCTCTCACCTGTTTACAGTTCAGTCCTAAGATCTCTCCCACGGAAGATGAATTCACACCTAGCCACAAGAGACCCTAACGAACCCCTTTGTGGGAGGGGGAGCACTAACGACTCCCATAACGAGGGGGAGGACCAACAACCCCCACCTGAAACCGAAACTCAGGTGTTAATGGCTCCTTAAGGATATCAGTATCTGGAACTCCCAACTAGTCAGTCAGAGCTGATGAAGCCTCCTGGATGAGAACGTCTTCAAGGAACTCAACCAGTCCAGTAGCTTTGATTATTCTACCAGAAGAACCATGACCTGGATGACTGAGAATCTTCACAGACATTAACCAAACACACTTTCAAGTCGACTAAATCAGTCTCCCAAGTTGTTCTGAAATCGCTCCAATTATACGTATACTGCAGAAGTGTATTCCACGAGGAGAACTTCAGAGGAATTATATAGATTGTTTGGGGAAATTGGGGCAAAATTATGTAACTTTACAAAAGGTTCATTTCGTTGTAAAACGGCAGAATGTGTCCTGTTGTGACTGTAAATCCTTCTTGAGCCTTTGAAGTTAGAAAATCCAGGAAGTTAAGGTTTGATTTGATTTAGAGTCTCATATAAAACTTTTTTTTTTTAGTGACCATGTGCAGCCTGTTTTCTGCTGAGGATCATCCAGGGCGCTTTGGTGACTCAGTGATTCTGACCCTCTGAAACTTCTGCTTGCAGCTACAGTCTGCTCACATGCAGCTCGATACGCTGACTTGTCTGATAACAGTTATTGCCGTTACCCGCCCAGCGTATCACGGCAAAGAACTGGCCGGTGATGTAGCGTTCATCACCTTTTAAGGTCGGATCCAAGCTTGGATTACGTACCATAAAACAAAGCAAACACTTCCTCACAAAGTCATCTGTCCTTAAAAGGAGCCACGAGTCTCTAGAGGCTGATTTATCTTGCTTTGATAGCACTTTAGTGTCATACTTAGCTATTTTATAGCCGACTTAAGCAGGTACAAGGGTGTTTTATGCATTTATTAATATACAGCACCAGGCGGTGTGCGTAAACAGTCTTGTTTTGAATGCTGCCTATAAATGTAAACCAGAGGTTAAAGTGAAGCGTAACCAACAATCATCAACACATTAATGATTCCTGCTGTACTTAAACCAGCCTGTGTATCCCTAAGAAGTCAACGTATGACAACACTATCCAGCTATTTTCAGTCTTGTTTTTTTTTTAAATTGGTGAAGCATAAAACTCTGCCGCCGACACACAGTCCTGCTGGTTTCCATAGTAGCCATGCAGAGTGATCTATACCTGCAGCAACAGGTGAGCCCAGGACAGAAAGCCCGCAGTGCTCCGCGCTCACAGGTGTGAGGAAACCTTTCATGACATTTTTCTTTGAGACTATTTCTGTACGGTTTAATTTGTGCTGGAAACGCAAGAAGCATTTTTTTTCCTGAACTCTGTCTTAGCTCAGGAAGCTGCAGGGTCCAAAATAATTGAACGGGATTAATGAGCTGCTGGGGAAAATGCTGTCTTTGAAAAGGCCTAATTCTGCTGCGGGAATCAAAGCCACACGGTTCAGTGTTGCAGCTCCTTTCAAGAAGCTGACTGTAAGCAGTTAATTCAGGAAAAGCTAAGCTAACCAGAATCCTCCTGGGTGGACTGCAGGAAGCTTTTTTTTTTTCCTCTTGTTGGGCAACTCTCTCCAAAGTAAACGTGACTCTTAAACCCAGTTTGCCGTTTCAATAAGGCTCGGTGTTATGAGGTCAAACCACACGCGACCTTTGTTGACGAGTAGAATGACACGTAGGCGAACCAGTCTGAGTCAGTTTCACATGTCTGGTCTTGTGCTTCCCAGGATGATGATCGAAACCGGATTCTGCAACTCTGTTTATTTTAGAGAACACATGGATGCTGTCGCTGCACCTCATCAGCTGGTCTTAATTAAACTAAAGTGTGTGAAATAAATGTAGTGAAAAGTACAAAAGTAGAACTCATAAAATGAAATATCTCAAAACGGTGCAGATGTGCTTCAGTTTTTATTCTCTGTGGTGGATTAAGTTCCTCTTTGCTGCCTTAATGTCTTCCTGTGCAGTGATTTTACATCTATTGCGACTCTTTTTACATTTTTTTTTACATAGTTCTGTTTCTCTTTGCAGCTTTTTGTGTCTCGGTTTGTTTGTTTGTGGTTTTTTTTGTGTTCATTTTTGTCTCTTTAATTGGTTCCATCTCTAACCGTTGTTTGTAATCTGATCATCTTACTTGTATTATTTCTTTAGAGGCTCTTTTTGTGTCTCTTTGTTGTGGTTTTGTCTATTTGTGATCATTTTGTGTGTCTTTTGAGTCGATTCCGACTGTTTGTGCGTCTCTGTAGTTGTTCAGCATCTCTTTCTAGTCGTTCTCAATCTTTTCGTGGTAGTTTTGCGTCTTTTTTTTGCGGTCATCCGGCGTCTCTTTGCAGTTTTGTGTTCATTTTTTGTCGCTCTACAGATTTGTGTGTGACAGTCTTGAGGCTCTTAGTGGTGATTTTATGCCTCTTTGCAGTCTTCATGTCTTTCTTTGCAGTGGTTTTCTATCTATCTGTCACATTCCTTCTCTTTTTACACGGTTCTGTTTCTCTTCGCAGCCATTTTGCTGCTCTTTGTGTCTCGTTGCAGTTGTTTTGTTTGTTTGTGTGGTGTTGTGTGTCTCTTTTTAGTGGGATCAGCTGTTTGTGATCTCCCTCTGGTGGCTTTACTGGTCTTTTTTTTTTTGAAAGGCTCTTTGTCATTATTTCGAGCTCTTTTTGTGTCTCTTTGTAGTTGCTTTGTGTGTATTTGTGATCATTTTATTTGTCTCTTGTCGTCTCTATCAGATAATTTTGTCTCTTTAGCATCTCTTTCTAATTGTTTTGTGTCTCCTTGCGTTCATTTCGTCCGTCTTTGCAGACATTTAGCGTCTCCTTGAAGTCTGATGTTCATTACTTTTGTTTTTTTGTCTTGTCTCGAGGCTCTTAGTGGTGATTTGTTTTTTTTTTGTTTTTCTTTTGTCGTGGCTTTGCACTGATTTGTGTTTGTTCATTGTGTTTTTGCACCTTGCAGGCTTTTGAAGTCGTCTCTTTGCAGTCATTCGGTCTCTTTTTTTCTGGTTGTTTTCATCTCTTTGCAGTTATTTCGTCTGGTTTTGCATCAGTTTGTGTTTATTTTTCTTTTTGTTGGTTCCATGTCTTCTGTTCATGATCTTCCTCTTGTCATTTTGTAATTGTTTAGTCTCTTTTTAATTGTTCTAAATCCCTTAATGATCCTCGCCATTGATTTGTTGGTCTTTGCAGTCATTTCTCTTGAGTTTTGTGTAAATCTTTTGTTGCTTTTTGGGATTTTCTTGGGGATTTTTCTTGTCTTTGCAGTGGTTTGTGTTCATTTATATTCAAATCTGTTTTATTTTTTGTAGGGTTGTTTTCCATCACCTTAGTCAAATTGAATCTTTCTTGGTGTTTTGTGTGTCCTTGTAGTTTCCTGGTCTCTAATTGTCAAGTCTTTTCCTTCTTTTTTCAGTCCTTGTGTCTTTCTTTGAGGTTTTTTAGCGTCAGTTTGTGTTCATTCATGATCATTTCTCATCTGGTTGCATCCTTTCAAGGTGTTTCTTTGCAGTCTGTCGGTCGTTGTGTTTTTATTTGTGCGTCCTTTTGTGTTCATTTTGCATCTGTTTTAATCGTGTGGTCGTTTTGAGTGTTTTGTAGTTGTTTTGTGTTTCTTTCTGTTATTTTTTGTGTGTTTTTGTAGTCGATTAGAGTCTAATTGTTCTTGTTGAGTGCAGAATTTTCTTCTTTTTTCAGTCCTTATGTGTGTTTTTTTTTTTGCAGCACCTGTTTTTAAAACAATTTTACAATCAATTTAATTTTACATTTTGCAGCAGCCTTTTTTTTATAGTTTTGTGGTCATTTTGAGTGTTTTGTCGTTGTCTTGTGTTTCTTTCTGGTAATTTTATGTGTCTTCATAGTTGTTTATAGTCTCTATTTGTTCTGAGTCTCGGTGTTGAGTTTTCTTGTCTTTTCTGTCCTTCCTTCTGTCTGTTTTTGCAGCAGTTGTGCATCAGTTTCTGTTCATTTATGGTCATTTTGCATCTTGTAGCAGCTGCTGAAATCGTCTCTTTGCAATTTGTTGGTCTTTTTATGTTTAGTTTGCATAGTTTTTCAGTAGATTTTGTCTCTTTGTGGTTTGCTCGGCAGTCATTCTGGACATTTTCATCTTTTTGTGACCATTTCAGCGTCTTTTTATTGGTTTTGTCTTTCTTTCCGGTCATTTTGGAACGTCTTCGCAGTTACTTGCCACTCTCTGTGGTTGATTTGAATCCTTTCTGTCTCTTTTTAAAGTCTCTTTCTGGTCACTTCAGCCTCTTTGTGGTCATTTGATCAACTTTCCAACCTTCAAAGCTCTGATCAAAGCAGCCCCCTTTGGCCTCTGGCTTTGCGCCTTTCAGCACTAATCCCTTCGTGCACTTTTAATACCACCACTGGAGTTTGTTGTGGGGCAGGAATCAGCCTCAACCGTGGGTGCGCGCGTAGTTTTGTCCAGCAGATGGAGTTGCAGGTCCTGCCAGCGGTACCGGTGGAGCAGCAGCAGCAGCAGCAGCAGAGCCACGGCCCCTCCTGTGCGCTGCGCACCGGCGTTGTTTTCCTCTCCTGGATGATGAGGTGCGTAAAGAGGCGCCAGCGCAGCGCACCGGGCTGAGGAGGCGGCTAATGAGCAGAGCAGACAGGCAGACAGTGTCCAACAAACGCACGCAGCGTCTCGGAGCCGGAGACACCATGAAGACAAACGGCAGATTGAGGAGTAAAGATTCACCTGCAGACGACTGAGTGAGGCGGCAGGATGGCGGGGGGCCGGAGGGGACTTGTGGCCCCTCAGAATACTTTTTTGGAGAATATTGTGAGACGGTCGAACGGTAAGCACGGAGATGAATATTTGTGCACCGAGAGCGAGATTTAAACACGGAGATGAAGTGTAGCCTGTCTGAGAAACTCATTAATTGTCCAACAGCCTCGAACCAATCAACTAATTAACGGGATGAAAAAAAAACGAAGAAGGAGGCTAATTAGAGAAAGAGCCCTCACCTTTATGGAAAAGTTAATTTTTTAGTGAGCAAAGGGAGTGTTAAACGTTTGCATTTGAAGTCCCACCAATCTTGCGGGCAAGAATCTCATTAATTTAATTAGTTAAGATTGAGAGTGATTGGATTTTCAAAGCTTCAGCTCTCGTTTAGGAGTCCCTGCAGTGAGCTGGAGAAGAAGAAGAAGACAGCAAGTCAGTCCAATCATTACATTTCCTATTGATTATATAAGAGCTGTGGAAGTCTGAACTGGGAAATGATGGAGAACTGAATGTCCAGTGTGGATACTGGTCTGTACAGTGGATATATGAACAGTTAAAGTGCACTATTGTCTAAAATCATGTAGAGGTAGCCAGTTATCATGTTTATAATGAGAAAATCTAAATGCTTTTGACTGTAATTCTTCTTTAAGCTACACATCAGTTTGAATCTGACTCGATAAAGAGCATTTAATGCCTCATATTTACCCAAATAACCTGAATAACTGTTAAAAACGGTGGTTTATTTGTCCAACCAGACCTCTAAAGCCACTACATATATTCCTTTTTCTATTTTTTTTGCACGTATACCCTAAAAAAAACCTTGTGTGGACTGCACAATGAAATAAGGATTTAGATTTTGTGTTACAGTAAAGTAGACTGAAATGAATTACCATCTGTTTTGATCATCTGTCAGTTTTAGTATTTGTTTAAGGAAAAACCTTCTTAAATGTGAATATTTTATGATTTCTTTGCTCCTATAACAGCTTTTGTGTACAAAACTAGACATCTGAGGATGTCATTTAGGGATTTGGGAAACACAGATTGGCATTTTTCAGGATTTTCTGACAATTTATTGATCAAACAATTAATCGAATAATCATGAAATAATCGTTATGTGCAGCCTTAATACCAACCAGACCTCTCAGGTAGATCTATAAATCAAAACTTATACTATATCACAGTGGGCCAGACTAATAGTAAATCTCTAAAATATGGATTTTTCCTTTTATCTTCTTAATTTTTTCAAAAAAATAAACCGTTGCTGATGCTATTTGGCCAATTAGAGTATGGCATTGTTGTCCAGATGTAGAGATAAGTAGAAAACTGAACATTACCAAACTCTGATGAAAGTCTTGGAGAATTTTCGGACACTGGTGCCAGTGATCCGTTGGCTTTTCTGCGTTTATTATGACAATGGAAAGCTCACTGTGAAACTCAACCAGCAGCGTTTGTCACGAGCCACGTTTGGGGAATCCGTTAACTGACCTGAGCCATAACGAGCGTTCTTTTCAACAGAGTTTGGTTCAAGTTAGTTCTGTAGTTTGGAATCAGTGCTTTGAGAAGTGCCAAACCAACATTTGCCGTCCTTGGCCCTCGCTGTCAGTCTGTCCCCGCTGAACATACCTACATTACAATGTGTTGTGACAAAAAGGGAACAGCTTGTTCAGAAACGATGACTGCCTCTTTCCTGAAGGAGCCTTTTTACATCTCTGAATCCCTGTGATGTATAATATATGAGGGAAAAAAAAACACGGACAATCCACCCTTTAAAAAAAAAAAAAATACAACAACAAAAGCACATGCATATGTTTTTCTTATGACCTTGGGCGGTCTGTGGATTAGCGAGCAGTAAATCTCTCCCAAGCTAGAAACAAAAGAGCCGAGACAGTAATCTGCAGGATGCCACTGAGACACAGTGGTGGGTGGGCACTCGCAAACAATGAATATTCCTTTTAGCAGCCATTCATTGTTAAACAGCCAGCTCTGCTCCACATTCTGATGACAGTTCAAGATTGGAGTGCCTACTTTTTGATTTTTCTTGCTCGTGTCCAGTAGTTTGCCACCTACGTTTGGCTCTCTAATTATGAAGGGAAAAAAAAAAACATGCACAAGTCTGCTTTTATGTAACGTACTTTTCAACCAGTCACAGACATTTTTAACCTGTTATTGCCAGAAATGAGCAACCAACAACATTGATGATGGCTATGTTCCAAGATGCCAGTATCCAGCAACACTGAGGGCCAGTTTGTTAAATAAGTATGTTAACTAACACTTCAGATGCCCTGAAATCCTCGAAATACTCTAAACCTTTTAAAATACACCTAAAAAAGTCAGTTAGTGAGCAGCAAAAGTAGTCACACGAAAGATTTAAGCAGCTAATAGGCACAGTTTCCTCAATATTTAGCACTCAACAGGAAACAAGCAGAAGACTTTTCTTTCAAACAACTGTTGTAACTTTATTAACAGGCGAAACAATGCCTTTAGACAGGGCTGGTCTTTTTCTCCAGCATTTAACTCTCAAAATATGAATTATGAGCTCATATAATCTACTGTGGATAACATTATTAGATCCATATATATTGTATTGAAATTTGTGTTTTCTTTTACATGAATAAGGACATTTCTACCATTAATTAATGCAGAAAAGGCACAAATTGTTGCAGGAAATGAAGTCGCACAATATTTTAAAAGAACCAACACCTCTGGCCTCTGCAGTTCTGCTGCTTTCCTGCATGTTTGGCTCATTTCAAGCCTGTAAACCTGCAGTTGCTGATGCTTTTGGGCCCCTTCTGCAGCGGAAATGAGCTGTGAACACAGCATTAACATATAATCAGTGTTATATGATGAACTGTTGTTTATCGCTGTGAACCCCAAGCAGTTTCTGGGCATTTTGAATATGCTCCTGTCACATTTTTACTCACGTTGAGCTCATTTTCCATCGCAATACAAAGTCCTGCTTCTCTATAGAAAGAGCGCAACCATGACAAGGAGTTGAAAAAATGAAAAAAATGTCTTGTCTGTAGTATGACACAGTTTTAATGCAAGAAAAAAGATAAAATGAAAATCGGAAAAGATTGGAATCAACATGTACAACATTTTTCAAAGTGCCCACAGGTGTTAATTAATACTGAAAAAATTGTGACTCTATCTACTATAAATATTTTACTACTTAAATTTTTAATTTGTTTATCTGCCTTGTTTAAAACACTGCCTGCAGTTCAGCCGAAAAGTACTTTTGTTTTTTGAGTCTGGTTAGAGCTTTTAAAGCAAAATGTATGAATAAGTCATGTAGAATGAAGTTATTTTGATGAAATATCATCATTTTAAGCTTGTATTTTTTTTTTTTTTGACAGAGCGCATATCATACATGATATGTTCGTGGACTGTCAGAAAGTTGGAAATGTGATGATTCTTTCTGTTTGTTTAGTTTCTGTCCCTAATAAATAGCAAACAAAACAAAACATTAATAAATACACATCCAACAGTTACAGAACAACATTATCATTCATTTGGAGTCATGTTTCTGGCGACTGGGTCCAATATCGACCGTCTTTTAGCTCTGTTTTGGGTCTCAACCATCAAATTCTGGTTCTTTAGCTGTTAAATGCTCCACCAGCTAGCTGCTAACTGTTTCTATCTGCTTGTTTTGGGCTGAGCTGGTTCTGTAAAGCAGGTTTTAGGAGCTTTTTTACTAGAAATAGCTATGAGCTGTGGTCAAACCAATGTTACTCGAGCCTTCAAATTGAACCAGAAGAGCAACATTAAAGCTAAACTGCTAAATCAGAAGTGATGTTGGCTAAAGAAAGTTAAATATTTTAGACATAAAAAGCTGAATATTTTTCTCAGAAGTTGGTAGAGACTAAAGGAGAGCTAAATGTGGAGTGGATATTGGAGTTAAATTCATCATATGGCCAGAAACGCAACTGCTGGATGTGTCAGTAACTATATGCTAATGCTACATTAAATAAGCTATAGGAAATAAGGCAGCCAGCTAGCTAGTAGCATTTGTCAGCTTCTTTTTCTGCCTCCTAATGGTCAAACATTTATGAATGGACTCTTTAAACAGAGTAAAAGTAAAACATATTTCTGTTATTTGCTTAAACATCATATGTTTCAGGCATTAGCTGCTCTAAAGATGTCATGTTTTAGCATTTAGCAACCATTCAGGTTAGCTGCTGTGTCTCTTTTGGTTTGACGCGATCCATCTTCTTTTTGTCTGACGTTTTCTCACTGTTATCTGTTAACCCTCTTTTCTTTTCAAACATTTCAGTTTGGACACTGTCACATAGACAGACAGGTACTATGAAGTTTAATTTGGCGTGCTGCTCGTGTTTCCTCTACAGCATCTATCTCTTTGTAATGTACCACGAAATGTTCTATACCAAATGCTGTTAATTTACAAAAGCTACTGCAGATATTTAAAAAAAAATAACACTGCAACACACGCACTTAATGCCTCTTTTCTCACGAGATCAACGTTCATGTGATCGCTGTAAAATAACACGTTGGCATGGAACGTCTTGTGCGTCACATTCTGTCAGTGTACTCGTGCTTTCAGTTGTCATGTCGCTGTGTTTCATGTTGATCAAAGAAGTGCCGTTCTGTGGGTATTCATATGTGGTGTGTGAGTTTCTGTCTGTTTTCTGTCCCTGCTTTCACCCCTGTGTCGTCATGTTATTGTTGTCGTTGTGTGTATAGCAGGGTGGTGTGCTTATTTTTAGTTTTTGGAGGGTTTTATCCCCAATTACCATCGCTTCCCCTGTCCCATTTTAATCCATTACATCTGTTCCTTTTTGCTTTTAGTCAGAGCTGTATTGATAGAACTGAGATTGTTTTATTTTTGAAATATTTTTAATATTGTGTCAAAAATAATCCAGAGAAAACAATCTATAAACATGTTGTTGTCCTTTCTTCTGCCTTTATTATTCGCCAGCCGGCATATAAACAAATATTATGTACATTTATTATGCGTGTCGTTTTTTTGTACATTTAATATAAAATGTCAGATCACAACATGCAGATGCTTCTGTATTTGTTCTTAAAATACAATTATGGTGTTTTACAAAATGGCATTTTTACACCACACGCTTCATTACTGACGAATCAAAGGCAAAGATTGCTGAAGTTATATTCACAATCGAATTTGAAATGAACATTCTGCGTGTAGACATCTGCTGTAGTCTTTGATAGTTTCCCAGGGATAATACAGCACAGCGCATTCATTTGCATATCGAGCTGATCGTTCAAAAAGCCAGCTGTTAAAACGAGAAACACCAGCGTTATCCTTTAATTTAATGTATTATGATTCCAGTTTAGGTAATGACACAGAGTAAGTTAATCACATAAACGCCGACGGGTTTAAAAAAAAAGAGAGAATAAGCCATTATTATTTACATGTGGCTCTGATTGTGTAGGTTTATTAACATTTTGACAACAAATAAGTTTTGCCTGGAGGCTTTGCTAACATTTAAATATGCAAAATGTGCCGTATGAGAATGAACTCTGTTGTCCATTAGAATTAGATATTTGCAGACTGCACTTAGCAATAAGGTGTAATCTGTTATAATAAATGCAACCTATGAATTTATGAGCAGCACAACTGCTCACCGCTTCCCCCCCAAACACCAGTGAAACACCCAACTAGGCCTGTTATAGTCACACACACAAAAAAGTGCAAAGCCAAAGTGTGTGTTTATCTCCCATTTGTGTACACTTGCCCTGTGTGGAGTGTGTAATGGGCCATAGACCATCACGGCCCCTAATGAAAATCTTTAAAGTGTTTGTTTGCTCTTAAAGGCGGCGTCGTTTTAATGACGGGGGGAACATTACAAGACGAACACAAGTTTTAAATAAGAAATCAGTGAACTTTTTACATCATCACTGTTCTCTGAACACCAATACGTCTCAGATACGCTCAGACGTTTGTAGCTGTGTCCCGTCTTTCTTTGAACAGCTGCTTCTTCTTAAACTGCTTCAGCTGCAGGTAGACGTAGATAGACCTTCTTCACCCTTTTCCTAACCGTAGTCGTTGTATATTTCTCTGCGAGTTATTTGCCCTTTTTATTTCTGATTTTCCCTGTTAAACAGACACCAACTTTGTCCTGGGAAACGCGCAGATAGTGGACTGGCCCATCGTCTACAGCAACGATGGTTTCTGCAAGTTGTCGGGGTACCACCGAGCCGAGGTGATGCAGAAGAGCAGCACCTGCAGGTAGGCGACACCGGCCGTGCCGCCATGTTTAAATACATCCTCATATTTAAATTAAAACATATCAGACGCTCGCTATGTTGGTTTACCTCCATTTGGAAGCTGTAGCTACATGTAGTTAGCAAGTATTTTGGCGTTGGTTTAATTCAAATGTTTGACGGCAGCATTAGAGATACAAGACTAGCAGGTGAATTGCAATAACTTGTTCTGAGCTTCATATTAGCAGTGCAGTGCTGAAATATCCACTGCTGCTGGTAGGCTACTAAAAGAGTAAGGATGCATTAATATACAAGGTTTGTTTAAACTGGTTTTAATGCAGTTCTGTGGAGTCTATATTGGTGCTACGCGCTGCTTATGGACAGGAGGGTTGTAGTGGGCTGGTTCTATCTGAAAACAACCTGTCAGTTTATTGTGTACTTGTGTGACAATAGGAGCCCTTTTCCGTTCTATAAATCTGTACGTCTCGGTATTTTCACCTCCTACTACCAGGCAGCGCGGGCTTATGCTGTAAACTGATAAGGAGGATAATGTAATTATGCGTTCGCAGCTTTTTGACGAGGCTCTGATGTATGGGGGTTTCTCGCCTTCTATGGAACATTTGTTTTTATTTTTAAGTGAAAAGTAAACAATAGATTATGCTGCAAATCGCCTCTACATGCCACTAATGTGCAGCGTTTCCATGTTCCTTTATTATTTATCAGGAGGCGAGCAGGATTAAATGCATCAGCAGTGCAACATAAACATTTTAGGTGTTATTTTTACACCAGATACTGAGGTTTCCTTCTGGTTAGGTGCAACAGCTGCATTAATGTTGTCTCCTGTGGTTGAGAAGAAGGTTTACAGCCATGCTAACACAGTGGTATTGCAGCGATGCATGCTCACAGTGGTAGCGCTAACATCCTGGTGTGTAGAAGGTGAGACGGTAACTACAGTTGTTGATTGATGGAAGTACCATTGGTGATATATATGTATTGGAGACAGGTGCTAGATGAAAAGTTAGGGGTTACCATCACGATTCATCCTTTGTTTTTATCGTATTGTGCCGTCCGTACAGCTCAAAGGCTATGAGAGACCTAAAATGATGCCATGGACAGTTCAATCCAGCTCTTTAAAGAGATGGTTTCAGAGTTTTGAAATCAGAGTTTCTGTGACAGCTCAGAAGGACATTGGTGAGCATCACGAAACAAACCTTTGCTTGCTCTTTAGCACAAAACAGCCTCGTTAAACTTTGCTAAAGAACATGAAAAGAAGCTTGATGATTCCTAGGATGGGTACATTTGTTCAGCTCAGGTGGCCAGGACGACCACAGTGAATGCATCGTCCTGACAGTGACGCGTGGAGGTGGGTGTGTGATGATGTGTGGGTGCAAACGGGGTTGGGAAGATGACATTTATCGATGACACCATGAACCCCTGTGGATGTACTCAAATACTGGCTGACAATATGACTCCCGGGGTGTGCAGGAGCTTGGCAGAAGAGGAATATTCCAGCACGGTAACGATCCGGAGCACACTGCCAAAATCGCACAAGTTTCTAAAGAAGACAAAAAGTGAAAAGCACGACCTGGCCCGGTATGTTGCTTGACTGGAATCCAATCGAGCACCTTTGGGGTATTTTAAAGATGAAGGTAGAGCAGCAGAACCCTTCCAGCAAAAGCAGCTGAAAAAAATAGTTTGTGAGAAACGGCAGAACATCTGTTCGGAAACTTGTGCAGCACCGGTATCCTCCATACCGAGGAGGATTGAGTCTGTCATTAAAAATACAGGTGGGTGCACAAAGTGTTCAGAAATGAATCTCAGTGCTGACTTTTGTTGGCACTGAGTTCCTACAGAGGGGTCTGCAGCTTCCATATGGTTCATCTAAATTGTTCTCTTTTAATTTTACATGTAAGCCTACTGTTGGATGTAAAGCAATTACTGAGAGGGCATCCAAGCTTGAATAATTTGACATTTAGGTGAATTGCATACGGTTGGACTCACTCCTGTTGTGTACTGCATATGAGGAAGTAAATAAGAATGCCAGTCGATTAGATGTTCCCGAGGAGGTTCGAGACAGTCCATTGGATTTCTCCTCTCGCAGAGCCAGAAACCAGATAACTGGGACACAAATCTGTGATGTAATCAGGTTGTAACCGCAGAAACTGCCTCCCCATCATTGACTGTAACCTGTGGACATACATACAGAGTCCCCCGAGGGTTTGTTTCCAAAATAGAACACAAAGGGATAAAAGCTTGTTCAGATGAGTAGTATTCCTATTCAAGTGAACTATTCCTGGACTTGTGCTCATTGTGCCTGTAATAAGCATGTCGGTAACCACCATATTAATAGGATCACAGTGAAGCAGTCGGTGCTGCCAGATTTGAAAACCGTGGGAGATTTCATCTGTTGTGGGAGATGGTGTTTGTCACAGCCAGCACTGCGGCTATTACTGATTTGGACCCTCGGGTCCCTAAACATAAGCTTCACAACGCTTGCCAACACAAACACTGAAGCGAGCATGTGATGATTTGTTTTAGGTTTATTTTCAGGTTGCTAGATGGAGTGAAGTCTTGTGTTTGAGGGGGGGAAAAAACCAACCTAAAATCTCCTGGGCGTATTCGAGACCTTTTCACTAACACTTTATAATCCGGCGCACAAAACAAGCGAGAAACATACTTTCTAGAGAGCAGACGGGGTGATACTGTATTCATGACTAATTACTGCAAAATGTTTGCAGCAGATCTGCAGCAAAGACGGTAGTTTTCCAGAAAATGATGCCAGTAGCAAACTTTCAGCAGTGTTGTGGTGATAATGAGAAAGTTCACCAGCGGTTTGCCACCAGAGTTTATCATTAGTGCTGAACTTCTTGTAGCCTTCTGGTAACAAGTTTGCCATCAGTGTCCGTTTATGTTTGGCGTAAATAGCATTTCTGGCAAAAATGGCTTCTGTCTGGGCGCCGCTGTAGCTCACCTGGTTGAGCTGGTGTCCCACCTACAGGGCGACGGTCCAGATGTGGAGGTCATGAGTTTGAATCCCGCTTGTGGCCCTTTCACACATGTCCTCCCACAGTTCTTCTCCCCACTTTCCTGTCTCTCTCTCTCACTGCACTATCAAATAAAGACATTCTGGCTTCTGGCAGACAGCTGGAGTTCGCCTTGGCAATGTTGGAAATTTGCAGCAATGCCATATTTTAATATGGAAATTAGACGTGTAGCAAACTTGTGGCGGTCTTCTTGCTAAAGATCTTCTGGAACGATAATTCCTGATTCATATTTGATGTGTTTTTGATGGTATGTCAGGATTGTTTTTCTTAACAGCGGTGCTATAGTTTGCACTGTAGCCTCACTGGAAGGTTGAGTTCTAATCTGCTGGTTGTGTGCTGCATGGTAGTTCAAATAGTGATTGTAAGCTTGCTGTTGGCGTGAATATGGACATGAATGGTTGTCGCCCAGAGTCAGTTGGGTTACACTTCAGCCCCCAATGACCTCGTGAAAAATAACGTGGCTAAAGCTAAGGGATTGGACGGATTGGATGGACGTTTTCCACAAAGTAAGCCAGCAGACCAAATTAGTGGCACATTCCCAAAGATTAGTTTCAACTGTCTGTCCAGAAACCTCAACTTTTCCTAAAAACTCAAAGAAAAACTTGGATTACTTGGTTAAAAGTGTAACGACAGGTTTTGGCTACTTGTAGAAGATAATTATCCATCACTGTCATACATCAAGCTAAACTATCACATCCAAGCCTCTGTGTGCTCAGCGTTTTTTCCACATGCGTCATTACTTTTGCACATTTCACATAAATGTTTATTTTCTGATTTGTGCCATTTTTAAATTTTCATCGCCTGGTTTCACTACCAGTTTTCATTCCTCGTCAGAGATTTCTGTAGCTTTAATCAACATGCTCATCATCTGGAGTTTTTTTTTTTCTATTTTCTGTCAAAAAAAAACATCTTCATGCTCCTCGTATCAGGCCATAAAACATTCACACAGAGGGGATGTTTGAAGTTTCTAAGGGTGACTCAAACATAGAATATATACGCCTTTCCCCCGGAGTCTAACAAGTTAAGCTCTTTTGCTGTAGATGTGTGCTGATCAAAGATGTTATTTCCATCTTAACTGCTCTTTCTGTGTCTCTTCAATTATGTATATGTTTATTTTCTCTTTACTGCATCCCGTAAACATGCGGTGGCAAACCTGTGGGAATTCTCGCACATGACTATGAAGTCATTTGAGAAAATTGTTACTGAATACATTTCTTTGAAGAAAATCACTCTCCTCGCGGCTTAGAGAAGACAAGAAGAGTCATCAGTGATGTTACATCAAGCGCCGGTGTGAAGAGTCTCTGCAGCGTCAGAATGTGGTCTCATTAAATTTAGCCTTCCTTTTGTATTTCATAACAAACTCCGAGTTATATTTAGATCACGCTGGAACAGACTGCTGCTGAGTTTGGCTCTAACAAGTAAAGTGAGATGAACGTCTGTGCAGCCTGGTTAAAAGTGTTCATGGTTGCTTGACCCACCTTCAGGATTAATTTGTTGTTGTCGTGTTTTTTTTTTTTTTTTGGGTTGTGCACCTGTTCTATTTTCGTGAAGACCTGGAGGGAGTTTCTTTAGATTCAGCAGAAGCGTCGAGTCAGACTCGAGGATGAGCTGATTAGATTTCGGTGGTGAAAGGTCACTCCAACACATATTTGACCATAACTCAAGAATTCATACAATATTAATGCTAAATTGCACCCAAGTGTGTAATGATGACATTTTCGATGCGAAAAGGTTAAAGGCATGGATGTAAACAACAACTTGACTGGTTGACAGAAGCATTTCGTGTTTATTTATGTGACAGAGACGGCGTTTAAAGATTAACAGAAAGATAGCTGTAGATGAGCCAGTTAGGCCGCAAAGCCAATTTCCATCTGTTGTCTCTGCCCAGTTCTTTATAAGACAAACTAAAATTAGACTGACTTCTCACAATCAGCACATACAGAGTAATACTCATACCAGTACAGTGCACACCCACCCAACAAACAGTGCAACACAACCATGATTTACCACGGCATACAAAACAAAACAAAGCTCAGTAACAATGAGCCAGTAATTCTAATTGAAAAGCACTTTGCATTTGGCCAATTAGAGATTATGCTTCCAAGGTACGTTTTAATACATTTTGATCTACTTCTACTCTATATTAATTACAGCTAGCTCTAAACAGTTAACGTGAAACCACAGACTGTATAAAAGATGGACGTAGCAACCGGCCCCGAAAAATGAAGCCAACCCGGAAGTGTCAAAAACCTGCAGTATCACTACATCCGCGAGTCCTGGCTCCAAAAAGCCCTGGCTCCCATAGAAATGAATTGGAAAAGAAGTGATCACAGATCATGAAATACTGCACTCCTCCAAAAAAAATGTGTTTTCATGGTCAAGTCCAGAGATCAGGTGGCCAATCTGAAAATAAATCAATACTGAATTTTTAAAAAATCGTCAACATTTTGCGGGGCAAGGGGCGTGGCTGGCTTGATTGACAGTCGGCAGCGACCATACAGACGAAGCGAGCAGAAGGTGGTAAATGTGGGCGGGCAGAGAGGGCCCGCCTCTCAATCCGTCTGACCAATCGCTGCTCCTATGGCTCCGCCCCTCTCCGACGATTTTTGCGTCACTGGCTCCAAAAATCCAAGATGTCAACCAGGAAGTAGCAAAACCCTGGCTTCATTTTCTCAGTGCAGAAACCAACGGGTGACGTCACGGTAGCTACGTCCATCTTTTATACAGTCTATGCGTGAAATCAAGCGGCAACCTCCAGGGCAGAACAATGAACATGGAAGTGCAGTTCCTCGAGTGGCCACTTGAGGCTTCCTCCAAAAGCGAGTCAATCCGTATGTTAAAATGTCCAACTTTACAGCAGAAATAGTCACGTTCACAGGCCGACACACACACAAAAAATGTTCTCTGTGGCTAATTTCCCCATTCAGGACGACTATTTGGAGGGAGAAGTTTTGAAAAACTCCCCAATTTAAGTTGTAATAAGGCTTGAAGTTCTGCATGATAAAGAACGAGGCTGCTTTTACTGACAGGCAGGAATCTCAGCTCCACTCATGCTCCACGTCTTTGCCCATTTTTGGATTAGGATGAGTCAGGCATTACCAAGAAAGCAACGGCATGAGCCTCCACACTGAGCTTCAAAGCCATTCTTGAGGAAACCCATGAATGCTGTGAAATTATACAGTTGGATTTTAAAGGAAAAGATCGACAAGACTTTGGTGCAGTGACATAAAAAAAAAGGTGCCAAAGCAATCTGCGACTGAACAAACGGAGCAAAATCACACAATCTCATCTACCCAGGGGAACGCACATTAAAATATTCACACTTTCAAGCTTTGCTCAGCACTCTTTAAGTGCGAGTGTGAGCATGCGTGCTCGATGCAGCGCCGTCTATTAAATATTCAAATTGTTATTTCCCTTTTGTGTTTTCCAGCTTCATGTACGGGGAGCTCACAGACAAGGACACGACGGAAAAAGTGCGACTAACGTTCGAGAATTATGAGATGAACTCGTTTGAAATACTGATGTACAAGAAGAACAGTAAGTAGCGCCGCCACATGTGGGGAAAAGAGAAAAAAAATGTGAACTTCCACTCTCTTGTCATGCAAATGTATTCAGAGCCTGTGTAACATACAGCAGAGTTCAAAGGCAGCCCAGAACATTTCTACCTCTGTAGAAATGTGCTAATTGGTTGAGGGCCAGACCAGAGAAGCCTTCCTCGGAGAGACGTGGTGCTGCGCTCGTCTCCTCTCGCAGGTGTAACTCTCCTGTGCTGGCACCTGTGCAGGAAAAAAAAAACACGGAAAGTTCTGAAAGTCCAGAACATTTCAGTTTACATTACGCAACCGAGAAGGTTTCTGCTATATGTGCACTCTGAGTCATTTCCTTTAAAAATAAGCAGGCGATGCAGCTAAATATGTGCTGTTCTTTCTGTGCTTTCAGGGACGCCTGTTTGGTTTTTTGTGAAGATCGCTCCCATTCGAAACGAACAAGAGAAAGTGGTGCTGTTTCTGTGCACGTTCAGCGACATCACAGCCTTCAAGCAGCCCATCGAAGACGACTCGTCCAAAGGTTAGAGCCCGCGAATGTGATTTGTTCAACTTCATGCCTTCTATCAAATCACTTCAGAGCGATTAAAATAGGGGGAAATGAGTTTACGTCCTTACTCGGGCATCAAATGGCCCAGCGAAATCCAGTTAAACTTTTCACAATGCATTTGCAGACACGTGTGATCTGCAGCTCTTTATGCAGAGGCAGAGGTAAAATTAGTCCGCCGGCCGACCCTACGCATTGTGCATCTGCTCTGGCAGGTACCCAGTCAGTCAAATACGCACCTCGTCACGATGGCTATCAGCGCTCGACACAAAAAACTGATTCACTGGGCTGCATAACTGTTGACGACAGCCAAAATAGAAGGCGAATTAGTGAAAGAGGAGCTGCGACAAACAAGCGACAGAGAGACAAACAGGATGTGTCGTTATCATGAAACTGAGATTACAGTTGAGGCTCGAGCATCAACAGGTAGCGCTCTGCTAAAGGCATCATTGCCTGCGGGGAACAATAACAAGCACGGGTTTGTGCTGCCTGAACAGAGTGGAGAGTGTAGTTGAACAAAAACGCCCACGCAGGTCAGCACGAGCAGCATTTAGCGTTTTGTTTAAATTGCACTTGTACAGTATTTGCACAGCAGCAGTCAGCGGCAAATTAAAAGTAATATAATGTTACACCAGAGCAAGAATAAGTGCTATGGAGGAGGCTGTCTGCTAAACACTATCACTGCTTTTTTTTTTAACGACCAGCACACTCACTCCTCAACCTTAAACCTACAGTGTTTTCTGTTCAGCCTAAACGCAGCGCTGACATGTTTCCACCTTATTGGGTATAATCTGTATCAGGAAAAACTGGATTTTTGCTCAAGATTTGGAAGTTTTAAAATTAAAAAACTTAAGCAGAAAGAGAGGGAATTGCATAACTGGATGGCCACAGGGAGGAGTGACCTTCTGTGACGTTCAGTGGAGCATTCAGTCATTCGTAGTCTCTGGCAATGCACCGCAGCTGTGCTGTCATTTCTATTCTCCTGTTGATTGTTAGCAAACATTTTCCTGTTCGCACATCCAGCAGAGATGCAGCCACGTTGTCATTCATTTGGAGGTGTGTGTTTTTTATCCACCTGATGAGCACAAGTCCAACATTCACTCTGTTGTTAGTCGCGATCAACTCATGAGTGAAACATGCGACTGAATGCTCAACTTTGTTCACCAGTTTGTTGCTAACTTTGTCTAATGTTTGGTGCTCGGTAGGGGATGTAAAGTGCTTTTAAGGGATGCTTTTCATGCTGTAAACAGCTGCCTGCTGCGGCTTAAAAACAACATCAGTCAGAGCAAACCGACACACTGAGTTGCCCACACAAAGTTTTGGGCTACGAAGCCAAAACACCATAAGAGCAGCGGACCATAAAACCCTCATATGAGGCATCTGTGGACGTGATGAATCCCTTCAGAAAATGTCGCATGTTCCAAACTGCTGCTTGCAGAAGGAACCGAAATCTGTGGCCAAACTTTGTGTGGTCGAGTTGTAAGTATTGTGTAAGTGCTCTGGTCCCCTTTAAAACAGTTGATCATAATTCTGACATGAATGCAGCCCTTAAATCAACCGAGAACTCTCTTAATCGAGCGTCAAGCTAACAATCTGTAATTCTTTGTGGATGAGTAATCATGATAGATGAATGTCACAGTGGCAAAGAGAAAATAAAGCAGATTTTTCAAAAGCCAGCCACCCAAAACATGTCCTTGTCAGTGGATTGTTTAGCCTCTAAGAGCTCGCTGGCCAGTTTGCGTCTGGGACTTTGAAAAAGTGTTTCTAGCACGAGTCTTTCTCGGCTGTACATGAGCACATTTTCCAGATAAAATCATCCAGAAATAGTGATTTTTATCCAAACACCAACCTGGGGCTCGTTGAAGCCGCCGATGCCCTGCACGCCCCGGCGATAATCGAGGTTTGATAAGCCTAATTAGCGAGCGCTGAGCAATTCTTCAATACTGGCCAAAAAAAAAAAAAAAAGGATTTTCAGACCCCGTTTCCTACAAGCTGGGAAAACACACTGTAGCCCCAGGAATTCTACAATACCAGGAAACATCTTGAACATCATCGTGTTAAAGATTGTGCATACTGTGTGTATAATCCTCAGGCTGGGGAAAGTTTGCTCGACTGACTCGAGCTCTAACAAGCAGCAGAGGAGTCTTACAGCAGCTGCAGCCCACAGTTCACAAAGGAGAGAATGTCCACAAGCACTCCCGGCTGGCTGAGGTGAGGGTTATTCATGTGAATTTATTCCTGAGTTTATTCAGTAGAAACAAGGTAAACAGTGGTGCATTGTGAGGAAATGATTATGTTAAGTGTGGAAACTGTCACCTTGTTTTGAGACTTGTTTTCCTCCCAGATTGAAGATGCAGCATAAACGGGGTTTGTAGGGAAGATCTAATAAAAAACCTGAGTACTGTGAGCTACAGCGCTAACTCTGAGAAATGTTCACCAACAGGATGACAAAATAGTTGCAGCATTCACGGCCTCCTGCTGTGCTTATTTATTTATCTGACTGCGCTGAGTTGCTCATGCTGTCTTTCTTTCTGCAGGTTCTGCAGCTCGGCTCAGACATCCTACCTCAGTACAAGCAGGAGACTCCCAAAACCCCTCCTCACATCATCCTGCACTACTGCCTCTTCAAGACCACGTGGGACTGGGTCATCCTCATCCTCACCTTCTACACGGCCATCATGGTGCCCTACAACGTGTCCTTCAAGACGAAGCAGAACAACGTGACGTGGCTGGTGGTGGACAGCATCGTGGACGTCATCTTCTTGGTGGACATCGTCCTGAACTTCCACACCACGTTCGTGGGACCCGCCGGCGAGGTCATCTCGGACCCCAAACTGATTCGAATGAACTACCTGAAGACCTGGTTTGTTATCGACCTGCTGTCCTGCCTGCCGTACGACGTCATCAACGCCTTCGAGAACGTCGACGAGGTGAGTGTTTGGTTGTTCTTAAAGCCTTTATGCTAAAAAAACTTGCTTTTTCTTGCTTCTCAAATGTGACGAGTTGCTGTTTTTCTTCGCCTTGGTGATAATACATCAGGTATTTTTGGGTTTCGATCTGCAGATTGGACAAAACTGAATACGTCACTTGAGGTGTTGACTGGTATCATTTTCTGACATTTCAGAGGCGCGGCAATTAAAAATAATTGGCAGATTCATTGACGTAGAGCGGAAATGGCAACGCAGCCAACTTGTTAGCTGATCAACTCGACTAATCAGCAGCTGTTTTGACGATTTATTAGTCATTCAATTCAATTTTTATGTTAAAAAAATCCAGAAAGTGTCGGGGTTACAGCCCCTAACACGAGGACTTTCTCAGTTTTTCTTTGTGGTATATTGTTGTAAATAGAATATCTTTGGACTGTTGATCAAACTAAACATTTTAGGATCTTGCTGTAAGAAGAAGACGTTCCAGATTATGTCAGTGATAAAATACACATTTAATTACATATTAGAGTAGTTTGTTGATCATTTGTGAATAAGGGAAGTAACATTAATTACATTTAGTGATAATTTTACTGATAATTTAGCACCAGTTTGTGCTGCAACACAGTGATCTAACTTTACATTAAAGCTTGTCTTTTTGGCTTCATATAAGCAATGTGAGCAGCGGCGTCAGGCTGTAACACCTCCTCTAAAATGTAATATTTGGCTGTGCGAGCCGATCAAGACTGTGGCTTTTTATGTGTACTTGTTAAACCCTAGAGCAGCAACTCGATGTTAAGAGTTAAAAATGGAAAAAACCACACAAAGGGCAGGAAGTCAATGGAAAACCGTGGCTGGTTTTCGCCACTAAATTGGACCAAGTCAGAACCCCAACGTGACCGTTTCTGGGGTGAGTGACGGGTCGTTCGCTCTCCACGCAGCCACTCGACCACGTTTATGAACCGCCGTACATCGCGGCGAGTTCACGGGTCGTTGTTTTTGTGTAGCGACGGCGAAAAACAAGTTTGAGCGAGCGGAATATTAACGCGCTTGTTTGTTGAATTTCTAAACGTTGTGCCACAGCGACGAGTGTTTGCTGGAGAGCCATCGCAGGATCTTGAGATAATTGGCACATTTTTAATTGGGGGAAGGAGCGTTAACATTGTTGAACTGGGGCACACTCCAAGTGCTCCGCTGTGTCACTGATGCCCTCAAACCATTAACACCTCATGACAGCTGACAAAAGGACTGAATCATGAGGAAAACATGTTTGCTGTTTCACCTGAAGAGCGTTTTGAGCACTGGATAATTAAGTTTTACCACTTTGTGTATATGCATGTGAATGAATCAGGGCGTTTGGTGAGCCAGGTTGTTTTCTTGTGGAGGAAAACAGGTTGTTTATTTGTCGTTCAGGTGTGACATGACGTCGTTTTCCTGCTCTTTCTGTCACTGAAGGCATAAAACTGACTTTACAGAGAGCTTATCTGGTAAACACTCTACATGCATCTCTAGAAACGATCTTTAAGGGGAAACCACCGCTTGTGAATCTGGTCCACATGTCCCCTGGAGATGTTTTTTTTCTTCCAACAAACACGTACACACTTTGATTAAATGGACTCTCAAGGTTCTGCATTTGCCAGTTTTCATTATATCAATGCGTCTTTGTGTGCGTTTGTGTTGCCGTGTGCGCCTAAATGTGTCACGTCTCATGATATGTGTGTGTGTGTGTGTGTGTGTTATTGTGACAACGTGGCTGTGTAAAATGCTGTGATAGCACTTCGCGGCAGCAGCGCAGGGTATGGCGGCTCTCGGGGACTGTCGGGGAGCGCACACAGAAGCGACTGATATGAAACGCGGTAGTAAAGCCCGCTGGTGGGCAGTCGTATTTGCAGGTCCAGCATTTTTTGACCCTTTCTACTCTTTCAACGCTTCAGCATCCTAAACGCTGACAAGTTCAAGCGGCCGGAGCACCAGCAGTCAGAGGTCAGCAGGAAGGAAGGGAAAAACAAAAAGCAACCTTTTGCGGTTTAAGGAGTTGTGCCGGTGTTAGTTGAGCTTCTCATTTATAGAAACTAAACCAAGACCGCCTGAATAGCTTGTGCTCGCTGTCTTACAAAATCAGTTTAAAGCAGGCTGTTGCTTCAGGGAGACCAACTCTTTCATTATAGTGAATACAAGCTGTGTTTAAAGTCAGTCGACTCATTTTTTTAAAGCAAAAATGTCTCTGATTTGAGCCTTGAAATGTAAATGTACGCTGGCTTTCTTGGTCATGTTTGATAGTAAACTGAATATATTTATGGTTTGGAGTCTTTGTTGAACAAAAATGAATCCCTTCAGGATGTCAGTTTGACCTCATGAACACTGTAATGTATATTTTTACTCTTTTATATTCTAATTTCAAGTGATATTTTTTGATTGAAAGTGCACCGACTGTACAGTGAATCACCGGATGAATAGCTCGGGTTTGCTGTCTCATAAAATCCTGTTAAAAAAGAAGAAGAAAGAGCTGCTGTGTTGCTTTAGGGTCTTTCATTAGAATGAAAGGAAATACAGCATTTTTAAAACACGTAAATTAAAGCCAAGCTAAAGAGGTAGGAGCTAAAAACTACAGCAAGCATGGATTGTCTGAATAGCTTGTGTTTGCTGTTTTACAAAATCAGTTAAAAGCAGATGAAAGAGACGCGTCGATGCTGCTGCAGGGAGACAAACTCTTTCATTGTTTTGATCACAGGCTGTGTTTTAAGTCAACCGTTATACAATCCACTGTCATTTTTAAGGCAAAAATCTCAAAAATTCACTAATTTCAGCCTCGAAATGTAAATATTTGCTGGTTTTCTTGGTCATTTTTGATGGTAAGCTGAATCTTTGTATGTTGAACTAATAATTCAAGGAAGTCAATTTGACCTCAGGAACATTTTGACTGTTTATTTTGTTTATTAAACTACATGATTTGTGGATTACAGAAGCCCTGTTGTTTTCTCAAGGTCCACCATTAGCAGCAAACCCCCATACGCTCGGCTGTGCAGTATGATCCTCTGGGAGAGTTGTCTATACAGTAACCGAGGACTAAATGGAGATTAACAATTTGCCATGGCTGCAGTGGAGCCTTTGCTATACTGAGCATGCTCAGTGTCTGCCATAAACTGAACATACAGCTCCTTTGGAATAAAATACGGCTGCTGTGAAATAACTCACCTACTCCAACGATGTGACTCTGAAATGTGTCGTAGAATAAAACATATCCGGCTTTGACAACCAAAACAATACTTGATGGGCAGGACAGATTGTTGATTTTGGTCTTTTTAGACGAGATAAATCATCAGCTTTGCCCGTTGTTGTTTTTTTTGTTTTCTTTTTTGTTGTTAACAAATCCAATAAAAGGAAGTTATTCGGGCATTATCTTGGAAAATGTTGCATATTCGGAGTCAGATGAGAAACAACAGCACAGTTTTCAGGGTTTTATTTTCAGTAGTTCCTCAAATGTTGTCGTTCAAACAGCCGTGAATGTCAATGCAGGAAGAAATTTGAAAGTTTATCGACAGGCTTTTAAAAAAAAAAAAAAAGGCAAAGTAAAGGATTGATCTAAAATTTCATAAATATATTTATAAATAACCTTATTACATGCTCTAAAAATTTCAAGCACATAAGGTGGCTGAGCAGAAATAGCACTAAAAATGTGATGATTGTTCATTTGCTGGCTTTACGTTAATCAATTATTTAAAAAAAAAAAACACAAATCAACAATAACCGCTAGCCACACTTGACAGTATAGTTTCATAAGTTGTGCTTCATGTGAGCATCAGAAGCGATGAGGTCGACCGTAAACGCACATCAGATCTGTGACCACAGGATCTTCTTCTTCCGCCGCGTCTCCGCAACAACTCAGCAACTCCAATTTGTTCCAAATTGCTTCGAGGCAATCCATGGCAGGGGTAAATGAGAGCGAGTAAACAATTGCCTGTGTTATTAAACCGCCGCTGCCGCCGCCGCCGCCGCAACATCTTGCTGCTGCCACAGACCTTAACGACTGACATGAATAACTTTGATGGCTGTTTTCCCCCCAACAGGTTTCCAAATAGCAAAGGGGAAGATCATTAACAAGGAGCGGCTGTCAAAGTTATTCTTAGCAGTCTTATATTGCTGCTCGTCACCTCGGGACTGACTGATACTGTTTTCAGTGATTGATAAGCTGAAACCACAGGCATGCTGTTGACACCTTGCAGCACAGATAAGCTTGTTTTGTTTTGTTTTGTTTTTTAATGTTTGCTTTCATTTGATTATTGAATGTGTGTTTTTTTTTTCTTTCTTGCTCTTCATTTTCTTCTTTTCCATCCCTCCGTTGTGTTTGCATGGCTCCCCCCCTCTCCCCTGTTCATGCATGGGACGTGATGGGAAGAATTGGAACCACCGAGCTGTCACTCAAGTAGGCTTCAGTTTGATTAGAATATGATAATGAACAGTTTTGTGTTGTTTTTATTTTTTATTTTATTATTTTATTATTATTTTTTTTACTTGCACATTGGCACTTGACAAACACGTTACATAAACCCTCCATCAGGCTTCTTAACAAACAATGGCTGCCCGCTCTCCACATTTCCCGTGACATTTATCCCCGCGCAAGCATTTCAGCCGTAGTGCTCGACAGCAGGAGCATCAACGCATGAAATAAATGTCAGGGAAAGCAAGTTGAGATATGAGCCGCTTGTTGTTTTTTTTTGTCTGTCAAAGCTTTTCATTGCCAGGGTGGTCCTATGCAATATGTTAAAATGAACAACGGCACAATTAAAGCCGATGCGCGATGGCATCAGCAGTAACATGTCATTTATGACAAACTGACTTTCTAAATAAAGGTCATCCTGGCACTGAAGACACGCTTTAACGTCGGTAGTTTTGAGCACAGTTTGATGTTCGTCCTAAGGGTTGCCTTTAACTAGTAGTCATCAATGACAGGATCTTTTTTTGAGCTGATATCTGGGTTGACTTGGATGAAATTTACTGACAGGTGACTGTGGACACCTTTGATGGCTCGTATCAGTGTTTTGGTTCAATTTAAAACCATTGAGAACATTAACAAAGTCTTAGTTAACAGACCAAATAGTGAAAGTGTTTTGTTAACTGTCTAATTGACATGTGGTTTACAGGTAAGAGAATAAAGTCTTTCAAAAGAAGATATAAAACCAAAAACATGAAAAGTTTATTGCTTCCGCATAATAACTTCAATCGAGCTAAAACAAATAACAGTACTTTTTTATACGTAAATAGGTAATTAAACATTTTTTTCTCCCTTTACACAATAAAGACCACTTTCATTAAAAGGTATCATTTGGAAAATGTGCTTATTCGCTGTCTTTCCCAGATTTAGATGAATAAAATAGTATTTCTGCTGGTTAAGTGATGATTAGCTTAATTTAGCATCAATGCTAGCAGGTCCCTGTAAAACCACAAATTGTTGGTTTTGCATTTATTTGTGTGTAGATGAACCAAACTAAATAAGTTGTGTTAACTAGTGAGCTTACAGGTGTCAGTGTGTGTATTTTTGAAGCTAGCTGCTTGCCCCTGCCTCAGTCTTTATGCTAAGCTAGGCTAATCCCCTTGCTTTAAGTCCAAACTAAATGGCCAAGATGAGAGTGGCGTTGATCTTCTTTTCTACCTTTTTAATTAACTCTTGTAGGTAGATAAGAGTAGCACCCATTGATCCTGGCCCAGTTAGCCTTATTTAGCATAAAGATAATTAGCAGGCAGTAAACGGCTAACTGGTAACTACATTGATAGCCATGAACTCTCATTTTTCTTTTCAGTTTGTTTAATCTAACAGTGTTAATTATTTAAATTTATGTGGTTTAGAGGTGTTAGTGAGTATATTTTTGAACTCTGTATAGATCTACAACTTCCTCTGGCCTCTATGCTAAGCTATGCTAAGCTAAGCTAGTTGCTTGCTGGCTTTAATGTGCGTTAGGGTTGAATGGTTTGGGGACGATATCTAATTGTGGGTATAGTGCAATTATGATTTGATTTATAATAACTAGAATAATAACTATGTATGTAGCTCAAGCATGATGCCCAGAAAGAAACATAACAACAACCAAGCTAAAGGTTAAGATTCTACAGTATTGTTTGTTACATAAATGTACCTGAGTAAATTAAATTTTGTAACTAAGACCTGACAGTATGATATAAAATACTAATTTACCTGACTAACTTAAATAGTGTAGATTAGTAATGTAATTTTTTTGAGCTGAGCCTCAGTTCAATAATCACTGTAATAGATTTAAACATGTTGAGGCTTTACCACATGACACTGTGAATGACTGTCACAAGGAGGAGGCCATGCATTAGTAAAACCATTGACACTAAAGTTTAGACCGTCAGCCAGACTTGCTGCGTAACAAATATCCTAAATTGCAGCCTTAGCAATTTGCTAATTGCATTGTTTGTAACTGTGATTAAGAATCGATTAGCTGTTCAGCCCAAGCATGTATAAATATCAGAGTGGCATCAGGTGCTGGTGGGAAGAGCAAGGCTAACCGTTTCCCACTGCTTCCAGCCTTCATGCTAAGCTAATCTAATCGCCTGTTGGCTGCAGCTCCACATTTAGTGTACAAACACCAGAGTCCCACATGACGGCGTCTCGGCCAAAAAAAAAAAAGGCAAATGAGCACATTTCCCAACGATCCCTTTAATGAAGTCTCTTTCATATCTGTCCACTGGTGAACTTTCCGTCCAACTTGTGTTCGGAGAGTTTGCAGCAGACCTCGACTGCACCGATAAGTGAATTGTGTCGGAGCTCGGGGCTGTAAAGTGATTTCAGAGAAGCTGAAGCTGAGGTGTCTGGCAGGCAGCTAGATCAGATCAAGTGACAGCGAGCGCTGCAGTTGTACTCGCATTGCAGACCACAGCACATTAGCAAAATCAATACCCCTGCCAGCATGCACACACAGAATCCCACCAGCAGCGAGCTGCGCAGCAGACTGATGGGGTTGCAGTTGTCTGTTTGAATCACTGAGTGGGTGTTTCATATACGGTTAAGCTGAGTAGGCATTTAGCTGCAGGTTATGTAACGAGAAGTTGTAAAGTTTCATTACATTGCACAGCAACGCTTTTAAAAACCAACAAATGCTTAGAGTCTGGTGTTTTTTCATGTCGTGTTTGTGTTGTCTGTGTTTGCTGTTATGTTATGGTTCATACACTTTCATATTGATTCTCTGAAACACTGTAGAGTTTCTCTCTCATAGCGTTCTGATAGAATTTAGCATAGATTTTTATTTAATACCGTCTCTGGATGATATTTTATGTTTGCTGGGGAATCCAATGCAGATTTAATATGTAAAAAAATGGCTATTAGTAATTAGTAATTATCACTTTATGTGTAGATTTGCAAAATTTGCAAAGTTTACATGAATTGCAAGTAAATAAAAAGCACAAAACCTCCACTACATGTCATGTTTTATGTATATCTTTACACATTTTGTCAAGCCAGCCCTTTATAAACCCCGGGGGGAAACTCATGATCCACAAGATATAGAAACACACAAACAGGTAGCTGGGTAAACAATATGATAGAAACACAAGTGAGTTTTTCACCGGCAGCCGACCTAAAATGAAAAAATAGAACCATACTATAACTATGTACAACAACAATAGTATATTAATAAATATTAATGCCACTTATAAACAATATACAAGCATTTAATAATGGATTAGAACACATTATTAAGTATATGAGTTTAATAATGCATTTGTCAGCATTTATAACCGCTGTATGAACACACAATGATAATAATACAGTCGTCTTCAGAGTAAATATTGAAACTGCTGGAAAATACTCTGCATTAATAATAATACATATAAGCACTTTATAATATTAAACACCCTGGAATAAATGTTAATATCATGTTTATAGATGCTTAAAATGCAGACTGTGTGTTAGAGCAGCACCATCTTGGCATCATAAACACACTTTCGGGTGTTGGGCATCTTTCACAGCAGCATCATTTAAAATGTATGAATAATACTTTTTTTCTCCGTATCATTCCCGGCGTCTCTCTCCACTGTTTCAGGGCATCAGCAGTCTGTTCAGCTCGCTCAAGGTGGTCCGGCTTCTCCGTCTGGGCCGGGTCGCCCGCAAACTGGACCACTACATCGAGTACGGGGCGGCTGTTCTGGTGCTGCTGGTGTGTGTTTTCGGACTGGCCGCTCACTGGCTCGCCTGCATTTGGTACGTTCACATCACCTGATGGCATCAATCCGCTACCCGCCACCTTCCCTCATCCCAGTTTTACCTTTTACAGACTTTCATTCCTGCACTTGTCAAAGAAAAACATGTTCAGACTGAACTCGCTGTACTTGTGCATGTAAATTACATAACACATCCTGGTTGTCTCTGCTATGTTCCGCCGTCACCGCGATGCAATAATAGCGCAGCCAATTAGTATAAATGAGGCCATTGATTAAGCTGATTAGTGCATTAATTAGCAGTTTTTGTCAACATGCTTGTTTTCACACATTAGGACTGTATGTTTTTCATACCTTGAAGCCACAGCGAGTCCTGGAGGTTTCAAGAGAATTGGTTGTTTGCTCATTAATAAGCAAATTTATGGAGCAAAGGGGCCTCCAAAGTCTAATCAGATCATCTGCTCAACAGGGGGGCAAGTGTGGTGGAAGCATTGAGTGTGTTGTGCCTGATTTATTACGAGAATGTCTAAATACACGCAGATGACAACCTAATGTCCTGTATCCATAAAAAAAACAGGGAGAATATGATTGATAGGTGAAGATGAACTCAAAAACAGAGGCTCCAGCCAGCGTCAGAAACACCGCGTTCCGGTCCAGACGCTGTAATCAAACTTGGATGAATGAAGCCGGTGTTGCTCCAACATCAGACTGCCATGCTCAGTAAAAATAGCTCCTGTATCGTTTCCCTCGATGTGGTTTCTGCGGTTGCCATGGTCACACGCCGAGCCGCGTCGCGGAGTTGAGAAAAGTTAAACCATCATCAATTCAGATGACAGCAGCAACAGCGGCAGCCTCACCGCTGTCTCCTCTCGGCTGTCTTTTCTTTTTCTTTTTCTTTTTTTTTTTCTTTCCCCGTAACGCAGAAAAGAATTGAATCAGTTGCAGCACTTGATGAGCACCAGGGTTGTAAATAAGAAAAATCATAATCCCGCTATACAATAGGAATACTAGTGAGTTTCTCCTCCTCGGGGCTCGATAAAAATTATTCATATGATACAGTGTGAGGAGGGGAAAATCGCTCGCAGCTGAGAGACGTGCATTGTGTAATGGGGCAAGAAGAAAACCCCCCAAAAACAAAAAAGAGGATGGAAAACAACAACAAGCAAAGTGTTTGTTGCATCATCCGATCTGTCAGATTTATATTCTGGAGACTTTTTTTTTTGTGCTGTCTCCGAGGCTGTCTGCAAGAAGCCAGATATGTCAAAGGGTTCAAGAAGCCGGCTCAGTCAGAGTGAAGCTCAATTTAGTAAAAACAGTTTCCGCAAATCGTCACCCGAAATTTGCAGAGGATGAATCCAACTGACTTTAATGTTCATTCCTCGTGTAGCACCGACGAGAGGTTGGCATTTGTTATTTGAAGTGTGTTAAAAACTTTCAGATAGGTTAAATGCAATATGTTTCCCTCAGGATGAACTGTAACACATTTACAGAGATCTGTAAACCTCTTTGACCTGCAACGACCTTCCCATCAGCCACCTCTCTTTAGATTTAATTAGCTACCGAATGTTAGCTGCATGCTAAGCTAAGCTGCTGATCATTTTAGCATTGTGTTTGTGAGCATGTTAGCATTTAGCTCAAATCAGTGCTGCAAAGCCTCACAGAGCCAATAGATGTAGACCAGGGATGTCCAATCCTGGTCCTCGAGGGCCACAATCCTGCAAGTTTTAGATGTTTCCCTCTTCCAACACACCTGACTCAAATGATCAGCTCATCATCAAGCTCTGCAGAAGCCTGATAACGATCCTGATCATGTGAGTCAGGTGTGTGCAGGATTGTGTCCCTTGAGGACCAGGATTGGACACCCCTGATCTAGACTTACACTAGAAATCCACATTAAAAGTGAGACGTGAGAGGTTCAACTCCGACCTCCACCTGTGTCTGTCTGCCCAACCAGCTGTTGCAACAGTTTACTAGAAGAAAATTGTTTTCATGTGGGCTCAGCAGGAAGAAGTCAGCAATGTTTTTCTAAGTGGATTCATAGATTTTTATTTTTATTTTTTGTTGGTTTTTGGATCCAGAAAGCTCACAGTGGCACGAGGGAGTCTGCTAAATCGTTATGGATACCGTAACAGCAGGAGATTTGTGTAATTTAAGCAGCTGTCTGTGGAGATTTTGCTTTACTAAGAGCACCAGAGGGGAAGAAAAACTCCAAGTGCAGAAAGAAAAACCCCCACAGGCGTCTATGTGGACTTATGTTTTTGATATGAGAAGTCTATCTGCTCTGTGTGATGGATAGAAAAAGCTTCTAGAAATGGATTTAATTTCTCGCCCTTCATTGCAACTCTTCACCATCACAGTCCAATATTCAGCCAATCAATGTTTTTTTTTACATTTCAGGTACAGTATTGGGGATTATGAGGTTATCGACGAGGAAACCAACATCGTGCGGACGGACAGCTGGCTCTACATCCTGGCTGAGACCGTGGGAACGCCGTACCGCTTCAACGCCAGCGGTTCAGGGAAGTGGGAGGGCGGCCCGAACAAGGACTCGGTCTACATCACCTCCTTGTACTTCACCATGACCAGCCTGACCAGCATCGGCTTCGGCAACATCGCCCCCACCACGGACGGGGAGAAAATCTTCGCCGTGGCCATGATGATGATTGGATGTGAGTTGCGGCCGTTTCATCTTCTCTCTAATGCGGCGGATACATGATACATGAGGAGTTCAGCTATGCTCTTTAAAGCCACAGGCTCGCTGATGCAGGTGAACAAGTGAATTATGAATGGAGCCGTCGCAGCTCAGAAAATAGAACTTTACAGATGATTAGCTGAGCAACATTTCTAACTCTCCTCTAACCTGCTCAGGTTGAACATACTTCACTGCCAAAACTACTGGCTGCAATATTTATTTGATTTACAGATCACAGGCCTGTGAGCTCGGCGGTCTTTTTACTGCCTCCTATCTGCCGTGCAGGACGTTTCTTCACCAAGAAGTCACACCTGAAATCTCCTGGTCATTATCAGGGGCTTTTTTTGGGGCAGTTTTAAGTTGAAGATGTGTGTTTTTGTGCTTTTAAATGACTAACTTTATACATTTATACACATTTTTACCTGCAATGGCACACAGTATGAAAATATTCTTACTAAAGATTTGTTGCCAACATACTAAAACTAAAACCACATTCGTTTAATGCAGATTTTCACATTTGTTTTGTAAATTTGTTAAAAGATTGCATTATTCATTATCAAATACTGGGGCTGCAAGTTGGTTAGCATCGTTGCCTCGCAGCAAGAAGGTCGCTGGTTCGCTTCCAGGTGGGTGCCTTTCTGTGTGGAGTTTGCATGTTCTCCCCGTGCAGCGTGGGTTCTCTCCGGGTTCTCCGGCTTCCTCCCACAAGGTTCAAAAACATGCTGAGGTTAATTGGTGATTCTAAATTGTCCGTAGGTGTGAATGTGAGTGTGCTTGGTTGTCTGTCTCTAAGTGTAGCCCTGTGATAGACTGGTTACCTGTCCAGGTGAACCTGCCTTCACCCTGAGTCAGCTGGGATAGACTCCAGCCCCCCATGACCCTAGTGAGGATTAAGGTGTAGATAATGGATGGATTTTGCAAAAAGAAAAAAACATTTTTAAAAAGAAAAAACTCCCTTTCTCAGCCTCTTCTTTTTCATAATTTAGTGCGCTGACAGTCTGAATTCATTTCCTTCTGGGTTTTACTTCATTAACAAGACAGACATTGTTCTGTGTTTTATCCTGTTTGGGATGGATTGTTGTTTTTGCTCTAATCAATCAGCAGTTACTGATTGATCTGTCCTTTTGATTTCTCTTTTTTTAAAAATACATCAGCTGTTTCCGAAAGCAGGTAACTTCGCATTTGTTATGTAAATTCAAAAACCATGCTGATTAAAAGCTGCAGTCACAATAACATTTATCAGCTCATCGCAGTAGGACAGCTGTGATCTGTGCTTTTGGGGGTAAACTTTATGAACCTGTTGCCTTATTAACATGTGAGCTAACGAGCTTGTCAGTTAGCCTCCTAGCGCTGACAGCTGCTGTTCTCCTCCTGTAACCCTGCATTGAATAAAATTGATGCCGAGGTGAAGTAAACAGGTCAGTATAGAAAAGATATTAAAAATAGAAACAGAAGAAGCAGAAGCTTGAAGAGCTATTGTGGCCAAGAATACACAAGGCCGGCTGGCGTAGTATTGATCGGCTGCACAAGCGGTCTGTTTGGAGCTTATACATGTTTCGTGAGGATGCGCAGATGGTTTATTTGTTTATGATGTAGATGTGATGTAAAAAGACTCACAATCATAAAAACAAGCCTATTAAAAAACAAACCATTTAAATATCAAAAATGTAAATCGCTGCCATGAGGAGTCACTCTGGACTCCTAGTAATCCTTTATATTCTCTTAAATGGTGCCACATGTCCTGGATAAAGCCAGAAATATTGGCCATATTTGGCTCGTTTTGCTTTGGATATAATTATAAAGGCAGCTGTTTCCATCAGGAGTTGAAGCCAAACTGTAAACTGTGGGTTCTTACAGTTGTGTAGAATAAACCTTGTCGCTCCATAACAGAGTTTGCTAAACATTTGGTAGTATTGGAAGTAAAATTTGAGAAATCATGCCCAAGTTTGTCATAAACTGGAGGTGGTTTCCGATTTATTTGTTTTTCCGGCGAAGGTTTAAAGTGCATAATGGGAGATGGAAACATCTTGTTAAAAAAACATTCTGATGCCGTGAACATTTAACTCACACGACTGATCGGCTGTTTCTGCTTTTTCTGTCGTCTTCGCCTCCAGACAGCATCAAACATGAATGGATCTAACAAACCCTACAGACTTGTCTCTGTATTTCTGTCATAGATGGTTAAAGTGTCCTGTTCTTTGAGTTTTTTTTAGCGATTAGCAAACTGATTTTTCTTGTTTGTTTGTTTTTACTGCTACCTTCTCATGAGGCTACGCAGCCTCATTTATTCGCTCCAGAGTCCAAAGCAATTAATGGAAACAAGCCCAACTTGCATTTCTTCCAATTTGGGGCCTCCTGGTGAGGACACCCGGGATCTTTCTGCGGGGAGTTTGCATGTGGCTTCTCTCTGGCTTCCTCCCACAAGTCCAAAAACATGTTGAGGTTAATTGGTGATTCTAAATTGTCCGTAGGTGTGAATGTGAGTGTGCTTGGTTGTCTGTCTCTAAGTGTAGCCCTGTGATAGACTGGTTACCTGTCCAGGTGAACCTGCCTTCACCCTGAGTCAGCTGGGATAGACTCCAGCCACCCTAGTGAGGATTAAGCGTGTATAGATAATAGATGGGTGGACTTCCAGTTGCTTGATCATTATATGGAAGAAGGACAAATGATTTCTGATGCTGCAGCTACAAATTTTGCTTTAGAAAGCTCTGGGGGGCATTCGAATAAATTTTGTTTATACTTCCGGTGTAAACGAGTTATAATTTCTACAACAGCCTCATTATATTTGTCACCATTTTGGAAGAGAACTTTTCAGCAGCTGGTTTTTATAGATGCAGGTATGTTTGGTACCTGAAGATGGCATCAAATTCTGATACCACGAGGACTCGATTTTTGCTCACATTTTACAGCCTCCTTTCCAGTCACTGTTCGTGGGGTAAAAGTGCTTGTTGGGCCAAAGTGTGCACCGTGTGTCGACCACTGAAGCTGTACTAACGAGGTGTGGCCACTATGATGAAATGTCAGCTCAGTCCGGAGCTATTCTCGATCCCTCCGAGCTTTATTTAGCTCAGTTATCAGCGACTCGTGTGAATCGCTGCAAAGAAAATAATAAAATCAGAGATGGGAGCAGGTTAAAACATCCTCCTGCATTATTCTGCTGTTATACCCGGCGTTACATAACAACTTCTTGTGGAAGTAAAAGCTGCACAAAACACATTGACACAGCGTATTATTAGGAATGTGACACGGACACAATGTAAAATTAAGAAAGCTCAGAATTTTCCCATCAGTTTCTTTTCCAGGCCCCTCGTCAGCGCTGTCAACTCGAGTCGGTCCAATTTAATCCGGTGACACATTCAGTACAGTGTGCCTCTTGCCTACAGTAGACTCATTACCTCGGCCTGCTGTGTGATATTGTGCTGAATTATTGAGATTTTTCTGGGGCGTGTTTATGAAGCGCTGCAGAAAAATACAACACAGCTGAAAATAGTGAACAAGAACGACCACTTCTTCTGTTTTATTTTGTGCCTTTTAGGCCTGTATGTCACGGCCCCCTGAAACACTCCTTATGACCAATACAAACAACATTTGTGTCACCTGTCTAATTTGTCAGCTTTTCTTGCAAACATTGCCTGCCTTGCCCTCGTCGTTTAACAAAACATCTAATCTGCGAAGAAGGAGGCAGATTTTCACAGCGTGTCCCCTCTTTCCACATCTCAATATTTATAAGGTGTCTTGTGCTTGTGTGGCTCATTAAACATTGTACAGTGTCGTGCCATTATGTGCGACTGCACGCCGAGCGCAACACCTCGGAGCAATAACTGACACTGCCAGATCAATTTAGCCCAGCGCTCCCTGCGATCCCTCTGCAATCACTCCTCACCTCCGTTGTACTTTTCTTTTCTTTTTTTTTTTTCTACAGCCACAATCTCAAACCCTGAGACGTGGATCGCGCCTAACCGCTCCCGTCTTTTGTAGCCGTTCAAGGTTTATGAATACCTTCTCGAGGGGAACCGGCAGAACTCATCTGCAGACTTTGTCTTTGTCTAAATTTTTCATTGTGAGATAAAAAATCATCTCTGAGCGTAAATATCTTAAAACCAGACAGCCTCGGGAGGATTCGGTTGTAGATGCAATCTAGTGTAGTCCACGGCTGTTCTCTATGAAATATGGATGCCCTGATACTGTTCTATTTTTACCAGCAGCACTGGATCGGTGCTGGCAGTAGAAGATCACAGTGTGACGAGGGATTGCGGGGTGGCATGGGGAAGAGGGAGGGAGGGAGGAGGGAGATGGAGGGGGGCACTATACATATGTCCTGTTTCTATAGCAACTGTTGGCCTGGGGCTTGAGTTTCTGACAACTGTCTTTTAACTACCTTCAAACAAGCCAGCTGTTTGGACGGCGAGCGGCGAAGTTGTGTACGAGCCACGCTGGAGAGGGATGGAGCTCGGTTCTGCGGGGAGCCGTGGAGCTCCTTTTGTTACGCCGTTTTCCGCTTATCGCAGAACAGAGCTTTGCCATCTGCGCTCGAGCTCGAGGTAGCAGCCCATCCCCGGAAAACTTTGGCAACTTCACACGGACACGATTCGTCTTAGCTTTTTTTTTTTTTTTCCGAGGGACCCAGACCTTTCAAAAACAAACAAAAAAATAAAAAGCCCTTCTCTTGATCACGGCCTGCGATTGTGCAACACCACGAATATCACACCGCTCTGCAGCGCTCGATAAACGTGGCTGTACAGCTGAGCGCCGGGTTTGATGAAAGGATGAAAGTTGCGGTTAGCCTCGCCCTTGAGGAGTTTGGAGCGCTTTTTAATTAGTATTATTCCCTGTGCAGTTTTTCAGCACTTTGATTGTGCGAAATAAACAAACACACACACACACACACACACAGAGAGAAATGCGTGCACAGGTTACTGTCATCATCTGAGGATAATTGAAATGTGTGGCTGGCATGTTTCCTCTCCGTCCCTTCTAGCAGGGCTAATTAGGGCTCCATTGCCAGGAGAACAGTGCACACACAGAGCAGACATCTGATGGCTTTGATCCACACACACACGCCAGCTGTTGCACCAGTTCAACCACCTCGGAGATGCGCCGCTCTTTCCACTCCTTTTTTTTTTCTTTAAGACAAGTCAAGAAAAAACATTATTATTATTATTATTTAGCAGGATGAGTCTGCACGGGGATGGATGACTACGCACGCTGCAAATGAAGCTGTAATTACAGTTTCTTCCCTTTTGGCGAAGAGTTTTGTTGATTATATTCGCAGGCAGTGATGAGTAGTAATGGTTAATTTCCCACGTGATTGATTAAACGTTCACATAACAACAATATTAAGTCTGAAGGCGCGTTTGCTCTGATCCAACATGTGATGTAGAGTGAATATGAAGCCCAGCAGAGTCCGAAGGGGAACAATTTGGGAAATTTTTGTCATTTTAAACTCAACTCTTGCAAATTTTAGTCTGTCTTAGAGATTTTTTACGTCCTTTTAAACCACGATTTAGAGATTTTTGTGTCATTGGGAAGCCAGACTTCAATCTTTTTGGTCTGCCTAAACCCAACCACAGGGATTTTTATGTCCTTATAAACCACGATTTAGAGATTTTTGTGTCATTGGGAAGCCAGACTTCAATCTTTTTGGTCTGCCTAAACCCAACCACAGGGATTTTTATGTCCTTATAAACCATGATTTTGTAGAGTTTATGCCCTCCTAATCAAGCCAAGTAGATCTTTTGTGTCTGTCTGCAATCAGTTTTTGAATTTAATGTCCTTGTAAACCAGGATTTTTATGATTTTTGAGATTTCTGTGGTCTTAAAACAAGGGTTTTGAGGTTTTTGTCACATAAACCAAGTTTGGAGATTTATATAGACGTCTAAAGCTGCTATCCAATTTCATGTCTTTTTATACCAGGTTTTAGAGATTACACTGTGATGGCAAGTTTTATTTTATGTTCTTCTTAAACTCAACCATGAAGATTTTTATGCCCTTGTAATCCCGGTTTTTGAGATTATTTTTATCTGTCCAAACCGAATTTTGTAAATTTTCTGCCCTCCTAATCAAGCCTAGAAGATTTTTCTGCCCATATGCAATCGGTTTTTAAGTTTTATGTCCTTGTAAACCAGATTTGTGACATTTTTGTGTCCTTAAAATCAATTTTTTTTTAGAATTCAGGTCTTCATAAATCAAACCTAAAAGATTTTTATATCCATCTTAAACCAGCATTTGAAGGTTTTCATGGAGATTTTCATTTACTTGTAAAACCGGTTTTTAGATTTTTGTCTCTTTACAAATCTGATTTTTTACATTTTGTGTCCCCATCAAGCAGGCTTAGATTTTTAGATCTGTCTTAAGCCAGCTTTCATTGTTATGTTCTTGTACAGCAGGTTTTGGGGATCCTTGTGTCCTTATGTCATTGTGAAGCCAGATTTTTATTTCATGTTCTCCTTAAACTCAACCCTGGAGATTTTCCTGCTCTTATAAACCAGGTTTTTTGTTTGTTTGTTTGTTTGTTTTTTTTTAAAGGATTTTATTTATTTATAAAGCAAATTTTGTACTTGCACATTCTTGTAAATCAAACTTTGTAGAATTTATGTCCATCTGAAGCCAGTTTTCATTTTCATGTCCTTGTAAATCAGGTTTTGGGGATTTCTGTGCACTTATAAACCACATTTTAGGGATTTTAGGTCCTTTTAAGTAAAGCTTTTGAGATTTTTAGAGCACAAAACAGCACAAAAATGTCCCTCATCATCTTTAAGGCCATTTAACATTAACTACTACGGCGCGTCGGATTTTCTCTAAACTTCACTCTTCTGTCTCCACAGCTCTTCTTTACGCCACCATCTTTGGTAACGTGACAACGATCTTCCAGCAGATGTACGCCAACACGAATCGTTACCACGAGATGCTGAACAGCGTCCGGGACTTCCTGAAGCTCTACCAGGTGCCCAAAGGTTTGAGCGAAAGAGTCATGGACTACATCGCCTCCACCTGGTCCATGTCGCGGGGTATAGACACCGAAAAGGTACGTCAGTCTGCCATCACTGTTTGTTTTTCTTTCATTGTTATCTTGGTACTTTTTCCAATGGAGAGACTTGGAAATGTGCTCTAATTACTATAATCTCTTCTCTTCTTGTCAAGCCAGGACGGTCCAGATGGAACGAGCTCTGAGTTAATACACTCATTTATGTCAGAAAACTTGTCCTCTTTAGCCTTCAGTTTTGCAAACAAACCAAATATAATACATTCATTAGGAAGCTGTGGAGGTGGATTTGTGTTACATTTGAACAGAGGTCGGCTTGCTGTCTTCCCCTGTTTCTAGCCTTGATGCTAAGCTAAGCTAACTGTAGCTTCATAACTGACAGACAGGTGGATAAGGCAGCAATATGACGGCATGTGAGAACTGTTTCTATGATAATCAGTAAATATTGCAGCATTTCTTTTGGGATTTGGGTTTCTCTGTTTGTGTGTGCACAATAACCAATTTGATAGAATGTGGTATTAGCAAGATATTCAAAATCTACAACTGCAGCTTTATTTACAGTATTTTTGTGATATTCTTGTTTTTCTTTGGTTTTGAAGAACCTTTAGACCAAACCTGTGTCTACGTTAATGCTTCCTGAATGCCACCATGTATGAAATATGCTGTAGTTCTTCATTATTCACTCGTTTTGTAAAATCTAGCAGCTTATTCTTTGACAACATGTTGCATCCAACGATCAAAAGGACACAATGGCATCGTGTTCACATCCACAGTTACCACCGCGGGATTCAGCCGACGCTAAAATGATCTGAGCGTGTGGAAATTAAGCATTTAAAGCTGGAAGCCGATGCATTGAACTGGTGCCACTTTGGTTGATCTGAAGCCAGAATGCATTCACGTCGTTACGCCCCATATTTATTCACTTATCATTTCCCTGATAACACAAGGATTATTTCATCAGCGGGAAAACTCGCGCACCTCAATGCTTCAAACTCGTTGACTGCGTCCTGTTTCGACGTCGAGCTGCATCTATGTATCATTTATTTGTCTGGCTCCAGGCCACTCTAAAGGGTCTAAAAATGGCACATAATCCCTCTCCGCTTGACATTCATCTTCAAAGAGAGTTGTTTTAAAGGCAGAGCCCTGCGACGGCCAGGCATCCTGTTGATTAGGTGTACTTGAGCAACACTCAGCAAAGCGACGGCTGGACTCGGAGCTTATAGCAGCCTCCACGTTCCTCTCATGTGAAACCATCAACTGTGTGTAATTTAGCCTGGATGTACATTATGAAATGACTTCTGGAGAAGTAGCTCCTAAAGAAAGAAGCTCCCAGTGTGCTATCTGCTCTATAAGATCTGTTGGTTTCTCAGTGACAGTTAATTAATACTTTTGAGAACAAAACATGAACTTCTAAAAGACTTGGAGGCAGATAGTTCAGAAATTAATTGGAGACTTCACAGTACATTTGTTTAATGAGCTCCCACAACCATACACAAAATATCAAGTTTTTAGGCTGGATTTCACCTTAAACAGTCGCTGATAAGATAAAAATATTTAAAGCATGAAACTGCTTTGAAACATCTCCAACCTTGACATTATTCAGGTGCACAGCAGCTTTAATAAACGCATTTATTTCCTCTTTATGTTCATAAAAAAAACAGTCAGTGAAGATTACAAGCACATTTCTATATTTAGTTTGTGCCAGCTTAGGCTCTTTTTTTTTTGTTTTATACACTCACTAAGTTTCTTCTCTACCTTTCGGCTCCGATCAGAGACAAAACATCTGTTTATTCCCACTTAAACAAAGGGTTGATGATGTCAAATCCGACAACAAAGTTTCCGTCCGACTCGACGAACGTGGAGTTTTGGGAGCAAAAATGATTGTCAGGTGCATCTGTTCACGGTTCTGGTGTGTGGACGCCGGCGTCTGCAGTTGCTCATTAACCAGAATTAACATCTGTATTACGTAAAGGAAGCTTTCAAAATTCTTTTGTAACATGTCAAAGTGGAGGTTTGTGGCTCCTGGTGACGCTTGATCATTAAATTATGTGAGTCATGGAAAGTTTTGTAATGCATGTTTTAGTAGAAAATGGAAAGAGAATATGTTGCATATACAATGTTCAACATTTTTATGGAATCAATATATAAACCCTTTTGTCTTTGTCACAACCATCAATCATGCATTTTGGTTCTGTCAAAGATTTATTACAGGGCTTCTGGAAATATGACAAAATCTGCTGGATTAGAAATATACATGCAGCAGCTCATCTTGACAGAATTAGTGCATTTCAGCTGCATTTGTTGGTTTTCTGACACTGACTTGTTCCTCCAGCTCAGTCAACAGGACTTTTATGGGCTTTAAGTAGGACTTTGAGGGGGACAGTTAGATATTTGGGGTCATTGTCTTGTTTGTAAAACCCAACTACCTCCAGGACCCAACTTTCTGTCTGATGATTTTAGGTTTTCCTGAAGAATGTGGAGGGAATCCTTCATTATTCCATTTATTTTGTGTAAAACCTCAGTTCCACTGGCACCAAAACAGCCCCAGAGGATAATACTGCCACCACCGGACAATAGGCACAATAGGTTTGGTGTTCTTGGGTTAAATGCCTCACCTCAACACATGTCTGGTTATTGTGGCCAAATAGCTCATCAAAATTTTAAATGGACTGGCACCCTCTTATTTATTCGATCTTGTCACGTTGTATGCACCTTCTTGTGCCCTCCGCTCGCAAGGATCTGCACTGTTGACTGTGCCGAAGGTCAGGAAAAAGACTGTTGGTGAGCGAGCTTTTTCATTCCGTGCCCCGACACTGTGGAACAGTCTCCCTCTCGATATAAGACAGGCCTGCTCTGTGGATGTTTCTAAAGCAAAGCTAAAGACCCACATGTACACCTTATCCTATATGTCCTGAATTGTTGGATTGTGTTGTTTTATTGATTGTGTTTGATTTATTGCCTGTACAGCACTTTGACCAAAAGCGCTTTATAAATAAAATTATTATTATTATTATTATTATTATTATTCTGTGACCACTTCCCTCCAAAAGGCCTTTTTATTATTGTCCACGTGATCAGTGTGTCAAAGTGAAGTGGTTTTAGTAGTCAATCATAATCACTCACAAAGAGGTAACAGGCCATGCCGCTGAGAAAATTTGATTAACACAACTTTGTATGTCACCAAAACTGATCGTTGGAGTGAAAGAAGTTAAGATGCATGGGTTGCAATGAGTCCATCATAGAAAATTCAGCTATAGGAGTCATTGGAAGTCTACCACGATACACATGATCTTCACAGGTGTATGTAAACTTTAGTCATGACTGTACATTTCTAAATCAAATAGTACAAGTGTTTTCTTCAGTTTACAACATTATTTATGCTGTTTACATCATGAGGCAATAAGCACTGAATCTGTAAAAATAGGCTCCACAACAGCTACTGTGAAAGGCGTAGTATTTAAGTGGTTGCACTGAAGCCACAAAGGTTTTCTAACTCACTGGTTTGTTTCCATGCTGTGCAGCCTGAATAAAAAAACGGTTAACCTTTTTTGAATGAAAGAAATAATGGACCTGACTTACAATTGGCAGTTGTGTTTGTTGGGACAAATTGGCGGCGAGGCTGAGTGACAGCGCTGCAGAGGTGTAGCGATTGTGCACACAGGTGTGCGACATATAATCTCCTCTGGGAGCAGGTAGTTTACCTTTCACCTAAATATAGCCGCGGATACGCAGCGAGCCTGCAGGCAATCATCTTACGCTGGTTGTGTTGTAGTGTACGGTGTAGTCTGTGAGGCAGCCCCTCCTCCCGGGTCATCTAAGTACCCTCATGAAGAGGCATCAAACCTCCGGAGAGAAAAGTCTCTTCAGTTGTTTTCATCTTGTAGTACATCACAGAAGCTGCAGCGCGGTCCATCCGTGCATGAAAGACTTCTCCCGACTAATTATGGTAACAAGTAAAAGCACAATTTTTTAAATTTTAACGTACTGTATTTGTGGTTTTATTTATTTGTGTGATTTATTTGTCCTAAGTGATGAGTTCCATGTGCATAAACCCTCTCAATCGCCTGTATACACGTTACATACTGTACAAGACGACAAGCTGAGGTGTTCTTGGTTTAACATAAAGTCTGCCATGTCAGTACACTTGGCTGGGTGGCCTCCTTCTCTGTAAGACGTGATAAACGCTGGGTTTTATTCATCTATAAGGCCCTTACATCGCCTCATCACAGTCTTTTAATGTGTAACTCTAATGACTCGACTGCAGGTTCCAGCTGTTTTCACTGAGCTTCGAAAACCCACTTGTACTCACGGTGCTCCTGCGACCTGGAAAAGCCCTGCAGAACCGTCCAAAGCTTGATTTAGTTTTCTCCTTCGAGCAATTCAGGTCTTATTTTACTTCCAGCTGCTCTTGATTTAGTGGAGTCATTTAAAAACCTTCAATCTTCTAATTTATGTCTTTATTATGTTATTAACTTCACCTTTTCATATCTTATCGCTGTCCAAACTTCTTATTTGTGTGCCGACGTCTTTGATTGGTTCCTTGGCTTTCGTACCTCAATGGAGTTTAAATAAAGTTTGAGTGAATGAAAGATCATGCCAGAAGGTTTAAGACTCTTCTGTTGCTGTGTCTGAATTACTTCAGCTCTGCTCTGATTTCTCTCCAGGTGCTGCAGATTTGCCCGAAGGACATGAGAGCAGACATTTGCGTTCATCTCAACCGCAAGGTTTTCAAGGAGCACCCGGCTTTCCGGCTGGCCAGCGACGGGTGCCTCCGGGCGCTGGCCATGGAGTTCCAGACCATCCACTGCGCTCCGGGCGACCTCATCTACCACGCCGGCGAGAGCGTGGACAGCCTCTGTTTCGTGGTGTCGGGATCGCTGGAGGTCATTCAGGACGACGAGGTGGTGGCCATTTTGGGTGAGTTGGGGGCTTTTATTTATAAAAAAGAAAAAAAAGGTGTTGCTGTTTTCTCTCAACGTGTGAAGAGAAAATGAGAATTTAGTATAACTGGCTGTTTTTCGAGTTGGTTTAATAAATACTTTTCTTTATATATTGGAGGTCATTTATTTCTTATATTTATATGTACATTTTTTATTTTTATTTTTTCCTGTCTCGTATATGTGTACCTCTGTTGAATGCTGCTACCAACGATGTGAATTTCTCCACTGTGAGATAAATAAAGGCATATCTTATCTTACCTTATTAAAAAGCAGAGCCTGTATTTATCAAACTATTGAGAATCACACTTATGTTGCTCACTGAAGAGGGAATTTAGGGGTAAACAAGTTATTCATCTGTCTCATGTTTGCAGTTAAATTTCCTTTGTGTGAAATTCCTTGAATCTCCCGCAGGAATTAATATGTGAAATTAACAACCAACATATGGCTGAAATGGAGCCAACAGATATATTTTGCTGCTGCTACACAGTCTTGCACACAGTAGAAATCATTTAATAAGGATAATCTAGTCCTGCTTTGAAAGCAGAGTGATAGAAAACAAGATAAAAACCAGATTCATCTTGTTTTTTGTTTCCTAATAAATGCAAAAAAAATACAGAAGATAAAGTGGTGTAACATTCAGTTAAATGTGCAAATCAAATGCTAATGAAACTACTGTATTCTGAGTCGCACCAACAGGTTCAGCCAAAGCATTATCTATCATAACAGTGTTGGGTTTTTTATTTTATTATTATTTTTTTTTACAATCATTCTAAAACAGGAGGTGGCACAAAAGGTGCCTCAGTCTGTGTGCCGCAGCAGGAAAAGAAAGCAGGAGATTTGACAAATAGTTTAGTTTCTCGAGTTCACGAGTTCAGTTTATTTCCGTGTTTAGCGGTTTGATAAATGTGGGTCCAGAACTTCTTGTACATTCTGAAGACAAGTTAGTTCCACCGCTATAATACATGTTTAGTGATGGAATTCCCACAAGTGGAGGCTTCTCGTTGACCCAGCCGTTGAAGGACCTGCTCCGGATCTGCTCAGGTGTCTCGTAATATAAAGTTATGAAGCTTTCCTAAAGGGATAATTGTCTCTTTTATAAATTGGGGGTCCTTAGAGAAGCAGACAAACAGATTTTCACCACCTAAAGGCTGAGACGATGTTAAATATTTTCACCGCTTCACCTCGCAGTCAGACACTCCTTTTCTGATGGGAAGCTTTTATGTGGCTCTCCTCAGAGACGCCAGACGCTGTTGACAAAAGCAGTAATTTCTGCTTTTGGAGTTGCGAGTCAGTCTCTATGTATTCTGGAGCCAGACTAATGTCTAAAAAGTCACACAATAACACCAACAAACTACCCAGTTTAGGCAGCCAACAACTCCTGTTTTCTGCAAGGTAACATTACCGTCTGTGTCGGTGGAGTCTGGTGGCTTTGAAGGGTGACATAAAAGATTCAGAGTCTGCAAGGTGCATTGATATTTGTAATGAGCTGGCTTCTTTTAGGTGGTTTAATTGCTGACCCTGTCTTCAGCTTTAGCTACTGTAGGTAACACACTGGCTGTTGATAAGCACCACACACATCCCCACGTCAAAGAAACCAAACTACCACCTGCAGGACTGTTTCTTACCTAAGTTTAATATTTCAGAGGCACAACTGCACCGAAAACCAAACCGGTCCTCCAGCGCCGTTCGTACGCAACGGTTTTGCGTCAGAGCAGCAAAATAACAGACTTAAAATCCTCCTTTTTCTTTGTGTGCCGCAGCACTTTACAAACAGTTTCTGACTGCAGTGAAAGCTGAGCTGTTTGGGGATCGTTTTTCTGCTGAGTGATGAATTCAGGATTTGGACAAGAACTTGTTTGTCAGTGATTCACAGTCCTCGCAGTCGCACTTTGAATGCAGTCTGGTATTTTTTTTTTTTTTCAGCCTTATCGGAATCCCTTTAAGTCCTCTCACTTGTTTTGAAGCCACGATCGGTGTAATGATATGAAGTCCATCCAAAAGAAATCTCATAAATATGTATCCCTTCATTTCACTTCGTCCAGAAATGAAATCAGAGACAAATAAATCTTGTAAAAAAAATGGAAGAAAAAGTGCAGAAGGGAGCAAATTAGACAGTGAAGTTAATGGAAATCTGTGCAGTTTTCAAAATAAAAGAGGAGTTGCAGGGTTATACAGTATTATAAATAGTAAATGATCTGGCCTATTACTACTTATAACTGCATTTATACCCTTAATTAGTTTGCAAGATGCCTCTAAAAGCTGGTTCTTCGTTTAAAAGCTGTCTTATGAACTGCAGCCATTGTTTCTGAGACAGTCTTTCATTCATTTTCCTTCCGAGTGAACAGAAAGCCACAACCGCGGCTGTGATCTCCTCCTGTGAAGTCCTCAAAGGGCTAAGATCAATACTTCTGCCACATTCTCTTGACAGGGACATTTCCAGAACATATGGCTGTGGCTGCCGGTGTCGAGTATTCATAGATTTTTTTTTTTTTTTTTTTTTTTGGGAGGGAAAAAAGCTTCACCAATCTGCCACTGGTTACATAAAATCTGAGAAATAGAGGTCTTCAGGGGTCCAGAGCAGTGGCTGCAGTCTGAAATGGACCCGTGGAAAAGCAGCTAAAGCCTGATGTGTATAAATTCATGTTTGAAAAGGAGACCCGACCTGAGCAGAACCTAATGGAGAGAAATCGACTAGCTGTGGTTCACATGATAATATTCTCCTAAAAATTCAGAAATGCTTCTTTATTGATGCCTTGAAGAGCCATAAAACATTCTGTAGCCAACTCAGGGATGGATTTTCAAAGAACCTTTATGTGGCTGTGATCAATACTTTTTTTTATGCTGGCATCAAGTGAAGATGTGGGAATGTGAAAGGGGTTGTTGTAGAGAATTATCATCTGAATCTGGAGCCATGGTTGACTTTAAAGAGCGCTACAGTAAGTTTAAGATCATTTAGATGTTCTGGTTCATATGTTCTCAGCACCAAAGAGCAAAGTGACCAGTTGGTGGAGACCAAAACTGGAGCTAAAAGAAGGGAAATATTGAACTTTACACGCGTACAAGCTCGATAAATCAACTTTAAGGGAGATAATATGTCAATGTTATGTCCATGGTTTGTTTCAGTGGCCTAAAAAGTCTGTCACTGAGGGTTTAAAGTCCCTCGCTAACCCTAAAAACTCATCTCGGCTCTTTAAAGTTAGGGTAAGCTGGGGTAAGACGCCCCCACATTAAAGTCCCTCAGACTGTAGTGATCCTGCTAAACTTGAAATAGCATCGAATTGATTTTACTGGTGGTAGAAGTTGTTTGGAGGGTTGTTGATGTCATATTTTAACAGAATAAAATAGACGTTCTGTTCCATGAAAATAGCTCCTTCCTGCCTATAAGTGGCTTAAATTTAAATCTACACAGTTGCCTGAAATGTTGAAGCAAGATTAATAAAAAGGCTCCCTCCTGTAAGCAGACACGATTGGTTCTTTGGGTCTGTGACATATGAAACCCCAGAAGTCTGAATCCGTGTTTTTGACACTCATTGACTGGCTGCAGTATGAAGGTGGAACCACTGAACCGTGTTGCTGTCAGCTTTAAAAAAAACAAAACGTTCAGGTACGTACTGCAGATATATTGACTCGAGGCCTGTGGCACTAAATAAGATCCACCTCGACCTGAGGACACAGCATGAATCCTGTCCAGCCAAACGCAGCGATCCATCCCTAACGATTATTGATAAGAGCTGAACCAATCGCTGACATCTTTGAAACTCCGTGCTTCCTTTTCATTCCTTTGCCTTGTGTTGCTTCTGTTAAAAAGCAGAATGTTTTCTTTTTAAATGATTGATCCAGTGAATAATGGATGGCATGCTCCGGCAGGCCCAGCTGCAACGTCCCGGCTGGGTTTTTTTTTTTTTTTTTGTCAATAATCTGCTATCGGTTACTCTTTGCGTAAATCAATATACTGTCAGGGAGATAGCACCGACCTGGACGGAGACTGTAATGGAGCCCGGAGTGATAAACAAGTTGCTGCTATGAATCAGATTCTCATTAGCTTAATGGCACCGTAGAGCAGAAACAACATGTAAAGTGCAACACAGAACATCCGATCCACTGATACGTAGCGCTCAGAGGCCCATCTTGATATCGGCGATGGTTTGATAAACGCCGCTGCAACGTGAGCGGTCTATTTTTACGGACCGCAGATGTCATCCAGTGATTCAGAGAAATAATGAGGTGTTTTAAGCCACGCAAAGCCACATTTACGAATCTTTTCTGTAGTCTTAACTCCGTGAGAAGCTGTTGATTTCACTGATGATTATACTTGAGTCATAATTACTTTATGGTCACAGTTGCTTTATGGTCACGTTGACGCTGAAAATAGAAATGAGTCACAAGTGACGGCACGCTGAGCACTTCTAAATACCTGAGTTGATTAAATGCACTTTACACTGTAAAGGTACCTGTTTGTAATAAAGCACCATCGATCAGAGGTTCCACAGCTGCAGCACGTAGCTTTATAGATGGTAATAAATCAGTTACTAATGCTGTATAGATCAGTTGTAAGCCGTTAGCATGAACATATTTCAGGTTGTGGAAAATAAAACTTCTCTAGCAGGACACTTTACTCCATCTGGTTTAGCTTTAAATCACCTGAAAGTAAAAGAACGTCTCATCATTAAGTTAGAAGTGAAAAGATCCACATGTCCTGCAGCAAATGTCATGCAAGATGGGGATTTTTCATAACCTGGCAACCTGAAATGTGTCCCTAACCCATAACTGATGTACAAACAAGAAGCTACAGTGACTTTTCACGCATGAACATAAACAAACATTTGATTTTAAATCTGTGTTTTAAACTACAGGTAATGCAAAAAAATTCACTCTGACGGTGTCCAGAAATATAACATGTAGGATTCAGACAAAAAAAAATAATCAAAATTTTCTCCTTTTTTGTGGAACAAGTGTGTGAATAGGGGATTAAAAATAGAATCACTTTGACATATTCATTTAGATGTGATGTTATGATTGATTTACCTGTATGATAACTGGTGACACTGATGACTTGTGACTCATTTTTTTGCATTTTTACAATAAACAATACAGTATATGTACAATACAATACAGTAGCACACTTTGAACCTTTGTATAAGACTATAAAATTTAAATTGTGATATGTTTTTTTGTCTGCAACCTGTTCAATCGTGTCTGTCTTTGTCAGGATGCTCTTTAGAAAGAGTTTCATAATCTCAATGAGGTTTTATCTGTTTAAACGAATACAAAAATATGAAAACACAGTGTATTATTGGTTGATAAAACACTGACTGATTCTTTTGGATAAAGGTTAACGTCAAGTATTGTGGTTTTCTGGTCTTGAAATTGTTCCAAAATGACATTGATAAAGACCTGAAACACACTATTTGCAAAGAGGTTGGATAAAATGCAGGTAAAAATACAAGAATCCTCAAGAATCCCCTCCCACCTGAACTCAGGAATAGATCTTCATGACCTAAAAAATGCATAACTGATCATTATCAAACCCCTTCAGTAAAGACGCTTTATTAGAAGAATTAAGAGGTTATTTGTTTGTCATTTTGTTTACCCTAAAGAGCAGGTTTTGTGGCACAATGATCATTTTAAACGGTGTCTTCTCTCTCTGCAGGTATGGGAAATGTATTAGGGGATCGGTTGTGAGCCATTAATCTTTCAGGTTGCCAGGCTGTTAAAAAAAATCCACCCATACCATGACACTTTAGTTTTAAATCAACCCAAAGTCTCCTTAAAAGAGTGTCCAGTTTGTGGGTTAGTATGTTAGCAGTTAAAAGATCGAATGAAAAGAGCTGACTTGCAGTTTTATGATACTTAATTAAATTGTTTATTAGAAATTGACAAAAAACAAATGGATAGTTATTACTGTGTTATGAACATTCATAACTGCCATCACTACACTTTTATGAATATACAGAACTTGTAGCTGTTATAGTGACACTAAAAGGAGATTTAAGTAAAGTGTTATGGCTTTACAGATGCTCACTTTTCTTGGATTCACAAAATACAACTAACAAATACATAAAAAACACTATTTGCACAAGAAAGTTGGATAAAATGCAGGTAAAAATACAAGAAAACTCTCCCAAAGTGTGTAACTGATCAAAGCCCTTCATATAGTGTGCCTTACTAGAAGGCGACACAGAATTAATAAGTTTTTCATTCTTCATTGTGTTTACCTTACAGAGCAGAAGAATTATCGCTTTAACCGTCGCCCTCTCTCTCTGTCTGCAGGTAAGGGAGATGTGTTTGGGGATGTTTTCTGGAAGGAGGTGACGTTGGCTCAGGCCTGCGCCAACGTCCGAGC